AGAAAGTCTTTTAAACAGAGGCTGGATGGCCCTCTTTCAGGGGTGCTTTGAACGTGATTCTTGGCAGGGGGTTAGACTGGATGGCCCACGAGGTCTCTTTCAGGGTTTTATGACTGCAGGCTATTAAATGCCAATCTAGGTAGCAAACTGCAACATTCACAGGTGCCTCAAGTAGAGACGAGTTCTTTCTCCCACCTTGGACATTATTCCACAGAGATATTAACCTCACTAGCTTAGTTCCCAACAGACCCCTCAACCTATGAGGATGCCTGACATAGATGTGGGCGAAGCGTCAGGAGAGAATGCTTCTGGGACATGGCCATTCAGTGTAGGTGGGGGCACCCTTTGGTTTCTCCTTTATCTTATGGGGAAAGAGCGTAGCGAGAGGGCAAAGGTAGCTCTCCCCAAGGCTGGGCTCTTCGCCTCTCCCCTTCTGTAAGGTTTCCTTGTTTGTTTACTTACAGTAGTGAGTGAGTCAGGGGCGTTCCCAATCCCGGAAACTCTGGGAGGGAGAGAGAGAGAGAGAGCCCAGCCTCGGGAAGAGGCCACTCAAAGGCAGGGGGAGCCCGGAGTCCAGGCGAGCGCTGGTCCGTGTTCATCGCGCTTTCCTCCCCAAGTAGCCGCAAAGGGCGGGTAAGAGGACCGGCCCCGCTTCTGCTTCTTTCCCTGCCCGCTCGCCGCTTTCTGTCTCTAGCTCTGCCCCCTCCCCTAAGGGCTTTAAGGGGGCATCTAGACCATAGAAGGAGTGCCGCTTGAGACCACTTCCACGGTTTGTGACTGCATCATGGAGCCATAAGGGATGTCAGATTGCGTTCTTTCCACAGTTTGGGTGCTCCCTGAGTCTTCTGCAGTTTGAAGTCCAAAATCCTGGAGGACCAGTGCTTGAAGGCCTCCAGCATTTTGGATTTCTTCCATTCATTAAATAGAAAGACCCCCCCCCCCCTCCTATTCCACTTGACAACTGTACTGTGGCTAATAGTGATTGTGACAATGTTTTTCTTGGGAACTGCTTCTGCTAAAGACAGTATTTTACCTTTTCTGCTGAGCCCCCATTGGCGCAGTGGGTTAAACCCCTGTGTCAGCAGGATTGAAGACCAACAGGTCGCAGGTTCGAATCCAGGGAGAGCCGGATGAGCTCCCTCTATCAGCTCCAGCTCCTCATGCGGGGACATGAGAGAAGCCTCCCACAAGGATGATAAAAAACATCAAATCATCCGGGCGTCCCCTGGGCAACGTCCTTGCAGACGGCCAATTCTCTCACACCAGAAGCGACTTGCAGTTTCTCAACTCGCTCCTGACACAACAACAACAAAAAAACAATTTCTGCGCCTCCCCATCTTTGAAAATTCCTACCAGCTAGTTTAGGTAGAGCAGGCATCCTCAAACTGCGGCCCTCCAGCTGTTTGGGCCTCCAACTCCCAAGAGCCCTAATAAGCTTGTTTAATTGTCAGGAATTCTGGGAGCTGAAAGCCCAAACAGCTGGAGGGCCGCAGGTTGAGCATGCCTGAGGTAGAGGAAGAACATCTGCTCAGAGGTTGCCTAGTCTACTTCATGACCGAACTGGTCTTAGAGCTGGCATGGGCAACTTTGTCCCTTCAGTTTTTTTTTTTTGGTTTCAACTCCCAGAAACCCCAGCCAGCTTATCAGTTGTTAGGAATTGTTGGAATTGAAGTCCAAAATGCCTGGAGGACTGAAGTTTGCCCCTGCATGTCATAGAGGCTTTGTCTCCCACAATGTATTTATTTATTTAGGGTATTCCTACCCCACTGTTCTCCTCAACATGGACCCAAGGGTACTATTACCACATCAGCTCTAGATTGGTAAATACAGTTTTCTGTGGGTGACTACAGGGTGGCGTATATTCTATATCAGAAACTAGAGTTGATGTGGTCTATCCAATGCAGTTTTCTGTATCAGCACCACAAATAATCAAACCAAATCTAAAGTTGACAAAAACTGAATCATAACCATTTTGGTACTAATGTTGGAGAGTGGACCCTGGTCAAGTGGTCCCTATCAAAAAAAGGTTGGGAACCACTGCATTAAATAAAAGCATGTATTGAAACTTATTTCTGTAAAGTACACATATTAAAATACATGGAATAAAGATTTAAAAATATGATAAACATAGAATGTGAATTTAAAATTCATAATTAAAAACTGTCTGGATAGGCCTTTCGGAAGAGATAGCAAGACAAGCAATTGAATGGGCATTAAGGAAGTGATTATGAGAGAGAGAGAAAACAACTTGTTAATGTCTTTCTTGAATTGTGGTGTCCTTCAATCTAGACACTATATTCCTTTTGATGCAGCCTAGAATCACATCTTTTTAAGCTGCTGCATCACACTGTTGACTCATATTCAATTTGTGGCCTACTAGGATTTCTAGATCCTTTTCATGTAGACTATTGTCAAGCCAGGTGTTACCTATCCTGTAGCTGTGCATTTCATTTTTCTTCTAAATGTTGTACCTTAAATTTCTTACTGTTGAAATTCATTTTGTTAGTTTTAGTCCAGTTCTGTAGCCTGTTATGGTCACTTTGGATTCCGATCCTGTCTTCAGTGGTTTTAGCTACCCTCTTAATATGGTGGCTTCTAGAAATTTGATTAGCATGCCCTCTACTTCATCACCCAAGAGAACCACTGCTCCACACCATGCATAATCCCAATTGCATACTGTGCTTTGTCTGTTCAACAAGAAGCAACAGAGGCAAAAATCAGGAGTAGATCAACTTTGATGGTCCAGGTGAGGTGTGCCCAGTGATGTCATCCTAATGTCTCTGTGACGGTTTCCTCTCTGTATGCTGTAGGTTTCAACCCTACTGTGGCCATGACTCAAACGCCAGAACCTTTTGCGCCTCCTGCTTATGAAGATATAACAAGTGGTGGCAAGTATATTTATAATGCTGTTTTTTCCATTGTACAACCCAAGGGCAAAGTCCAAAAGACACACAAAATTGCTAGATAAACTAAGAAATATATAATGAACAAACACCAAAAACTGATAAGAACAATCAATCTGCAAATATGAACTTGACTGTTTATGTGTTCTTCGCATGCAACATCTTGTTCGATAGTTTTCATCTTGTATGTTTATTTTATTTATTTATTTATTTATTTATTTATTTATTATTTAAACTTATATGCCGCCACTCCCCTGGGGCTCGGAGCGGCTTACAAGGATAGCTAAAATCTAACAAAGTTTAAGAGCAATTTAAAACAATTTAAAAACAACAGTATCAAACATTAAAAGCCTGTCGGAACAGGTATGTCTTACATGCCCTGCGGAAAGCTGGTAAGTCCCGCAGGGCACGAACTTCAGGTGGCAGAGCATTCCAGACTGATGGCGCCACTGCTGTGAAGGCTCTGCATCTGGTTGCTGTTAGACGCAAGGTCTTGACACTGGGGACTTCCAATAGATCTTGGTCCTCAGAACGGAGGGATCTCTGGGGTTGGTAGGGGGTGAGACGTCCCTCAGATACATCGGCCCCAGACCATGCAAGGCCTTAAAGGTGAGTACCATCACTTTGAAAGTGATCTGGTGCTCAATTGGTAACCAATGCAGCTGTAGTAAGATTGGTGTTATGTGGCATCTCATCGGAATTCCCGCAAGAAGCCGAGCAGCTGCATTTTGTACCAACTTGAGCTTCCGGAATCACCGACAGAGGGAGGCCAATGTAGAGGGCGTTACAGTAGTCCAGTCTTGAGATGACCGTGGCCTGGATCACCGTAGCTAGGTCATCCCTGGACAGGTAGGGGGCCAGCTGTCTAGCCTGCCGCAGGTGAAAGAAGGCGGTCCTGCTCACGGCGGAGACCTAGGCCTCCATTGTCAGCCTTTTTTATATATCTTCAGGTCTCTTCTTCCATTCTAGTCAATGTATTCTAGTAGGCTTGGTTGATCAAGAAAAAAATTGGTTCTAAACTCGTTTCGTATCTAGGGGGCACCCGCATTTCTAATCTGAGAGGATTTCCGAAATTTCAGATTTTAAAATTTCGATATTTACAAAATTTCGTAAATATAAGAATCAATTCGTTAATGGCGGACGCGATTGCGCAATACGCGAAAAAAACCTCCAAACCTCATTGCTTCCACCTTGTTTACTTGTGTTTTCTAACCTTGTGATTTGGAAGCAGTTTGATTATTTCCCAGGATAATCCAGATTATTTTCTAAATTACATTTTTTTGCACTTAAAGAACTTAAAGTCTGTAGCAATTTGCTACAGACTTTAAGTTCTTGATAGATACACTGAATTAAGTGCTTCTAGCTATTTTTGTTGTTATAATAATATAATATAATATAATATACAATAATATAATATAATAATATAATAATATAAAATAATAATATAGTAATATAATATATAATATAATATAATATACAATATTATAATATTATTATATATATATATATATATATATATATATATATATATATATAATGTATATTATATTATTATAATATTATTATATTATATTATTGTATATTATATTATAATATATATTATATATTATACTAGCTGTAACCGGCAGCACATTGCTGTGGCATAGAATGATGGTATGAAAAATAAAGTAATGAGAAATTTTGGGCAAGAAGGATGCCAGGAGAAAGAGGAGGGAGGGGGGAATGTGGGATTTGCCAGCTGGAAGGAAGGAAAGAAGGAAGGAAGAAAAGAAGGAAGGAAGGAAGCCTAGTGCAGCCCAGAGTGAGGCAAGAAGAAGCATGAGGAAAGAGGAGGGAAGCAGCAGAGCAAAGGTGGCCGGCAGGAGAGGAGAGAGAGAGGAAATTCATCGGCTTAAGCTGAGGCCAGGGACCGGAAGTGGGGTAAATGCGCAGCTTGCTACCGGGGAGGGAAGAGAAACTACGAGATTGTAAAACTTGCACCAGACATCCGAAAATAATTACGAAAAATGGGGAAATTATTTTGATTCTTAATTACTCCTCACACTATTCCTGCATGGCTCAATATTGGATCAAAGCTAATTTAAATAGGAATTCATAATGAGTTTAAAATTAACGAACACAATCAAACAAGCCTATATTCTAGCTATAACCTGTAATGGTTTCAGCAAAGACAATCTGCCGGTTCTGTATATTCTACTCCCACTACTTTTCTCCCACTTAAAATACCTTATTTTTTGCCATTGAGAAAACTAAACAATGAATGTTGATTGCATTCTTTACTTTCCCAGTTATTGCTCAGAACCACAGATAAAGTATGTTGCTCCTATTTAGCACGTTGCTCCTCATACCACAGAGTAAATATATTAATGCTTTCTTCCTTTTCAGGTGGAAACCATTTCCATTCTCCACATAACGTGGATCTTGTTCGTGATGGTGAACCACTCACAAGCCAGAGAATCCGGAAGTAAGATAGAAACTGTTCCATTTTCAGTTCCCTGATTTTCCCCATTTTTGCCCTTAGAGAAAGCAAGGTTAAGAGACACCGATGTGTGTGTGTGAGAGAGAATTGGATTCAACCATAGAACCAAGGTTTCCCACCCAGTTTTAAATAATTTCAACCAGAGGATACAAATGCTTTCATGACATATAGCTGAACATCAAGTAGGTTTGCTACAACAGTGATGTGGGCAAACAAATGATACTTCATTTTACAAATGAAATCGTAATACATTCTGCAGATGCAAGCTTAAGAAAATTGCCTTTCCCTCCACATATTATATTAATAGCTTTTACAGTAAAAGTCTGAAGTACACATTAGGGATCAGACAAAGTTAATCTCTTAAATTTGTAATCTATTCATTCTAGCTTTGGGGACTCTTTTAAAAGTGTTTGCCATAGTTGGCACGTAGTTGTCCTAATAGAAATATTATGATTATTTGCATTTGTTGATTGTTTGGAATGCGTTGGTAGCCACTTTGAGTGTTATAGGCAAACAGTAGCTTGATAGCATTTCATGCACATGAATAGCTTTCAGTGTTCACTTTGCATTTTCATCATACCTGTTACATTCATCAGTGTATGTGTTCTAACATGGTTTGCTTTTTCACTCCCACTTATTTTCCTTTCCAACTCTAATTGCTTTTGCAGTGCCCCTGCCATTTCAGAAGATGTTGCTAAAGAGGTGTTTGCTGAGTATGCAGCAAGTCACTGCTGTTACAGCAAAGATCCAGCCAAGGAGATGGGTATTTGTGATTCACAATCATTTGATACATATAGAGTAAGTGAAATCATTCCAAATCCTCTCTATGACCACATAGGTCTTATTTTGTAAAAAGTAAACATAAATTGCATCTGCTTTGCATGTCACCAGTTTTATTTATTTGGATATCCTTTATGCAATATTAGCTTTCACTGCTGATTTTTAAACGTTCTGATATTTGAAATAGTTTAAGCCTTATTCTGGTGTTTGATGAGGAAGGACATCCTACATCAGGAATAGCCCCTGAAAACCCCCAACCCTTCTTTTAAAAACAAAGGAGAAAAAAGGGCCCAAACATGGAGCAATTCTCACCCAGAAGCAATTCAAAATCCACCTCAAAACATGAAAACATGGGCCCATCAACATTTTTTTTCATCAGACCACTTCATCACATGGGTTTCCCTCTCTCCCTTGCAAGTGTTTTTGGACATTTGCATCACAATTGATCTAAGGAGCCCCATGCTGTCCATCACATGATGAACACTCACTTCTGGTGGGGCTCCATAGAACAACTATGGTACAAGTATCCTAGAATGCTTAGCCCAGAACACGGGAGGCTTTATAGGAAGCCGTGGGGCCAGCATAGGGGAAGGCAAATCCCCTTACTGCCCCTCCTCAGTGTGATGAGGTCCTTAGAATGGGAGATACTTTGGCCCCAGGAATGGCTATTCTATCCATTGCCATCCTGCTGGGGCTCTGTTGGATAGTCACCCCCTCCTTCTTGGTTGCCATGGAACCTTTGCCAACCCCAGCAATGGCATCCAGTGATGGTCAGTATCTCCCAGCAAAGGTAAGGTAACCATCCAGCAGGGCTGAACTGAATCTACACTCCTCTCCAGATTTTCATGGATCTCTCTTGCTTATGGCAGGGAAAAGAAGATGGTGGTGCTAAATCTTGTGGCCGGTGCACCAGTTCAGATTAGAGCCAGTGCATTTGCCCATAATTATCCTGAAAGGAGGGGCTACTCCCAAGCTTCACAACTTTGTGTAATGTGGAATAAAAGCAGAATAACCCAATTTACTCCATACTATGAACCAGAAGTGTCTGGATGTCATTTGGACACCCAGGAATAATTTTTAATCTAACTGGGATTTGAGCTCAGTACAGACAAGCTCTCAGTATCAAAAAGTCGGCAGAAGTTGACATTACATAATTATATCGGACAGTTTCACTGGGGCTTAGAAACTGAAGTTTGTGGACACACTGTGTGTACAATCTGTGTATCTATAGATGATGGAGTAGTAGGGAAAAAGTAATCCCTGGTTCATGTGCAGTGTGGAGGGTGCAATTTTTAGGGTAGATATAGACCACATTACACTCTATATGCATAGGGTGATCTATATCTGTCTTCTTTCATGTTCTAATGTTTCAAAATGCTCTCCTAGTATCGTTTGGAGACTTTCAGTGAATCAAGATCTTGTAAATGGAGATCAGAACCATATCGAGGTGAGTGCTATGATACTTTTTCAGAATATGTGTTCTTCTCATAATGTGAACATAAGATCCAATAATTATTTCTGTGTTAATCTGCAATAATCAGCCAGCCATAGAAATGACACTGGAAATGGATAGGGCATATGCTATATCATTCCAGTACAGCGATGCCTATTCCTCAAAGTCATCTTGCATTCAAAGATGTTTTCTAGGCCTTTTGTCTCCTTGTGATTTGCTGTTTGTCTGACTCCTGTTATTAATATCTTTTAAGATTTTTGAAGTATATTTGATAGGCAGATGGAAGAGAATTTTCTTGGTGGATGCCCTCTAAGCTTTGGATCTTATTGTCAAGGCATGGGGAGGGGAGACTGGTGTAGCCTCCTCTCTATTGTGTTGTCCACATACAAAAGGTTTTTTTCTTCTCGCAATAAATGCAGGGAATATGCATTTATTTTAGCATGTCGTTTTTTCTGAGCTGGGTAAAATTGTAGGAGATTTGAAAATTTCCTTTTTGTTAGAAATATGCCAATCAACAAAGAAGAAAGGGAAGGGGGGAGTACTGTATTTTTTAAAATGCAATTCAGGAAAAATATAGGAATTTTTCATCCCAATGTTTACAAAACTTGGATATTTAAATCTTATTTTTCTGATACTTTGACAGAAAATTTACAAGTATTTTTTACATCTTCACTAAGGTTATAAAATACTGGGCAACATGTGGTCAATAATACATTCAGTAAAGAGCACAGTAAAGATGAGAAATGTCAGTAAATACAATCCCGTCTTTCTCTCAGGTGAACCTGTCGATCCCAGTCTGCGGGCCTATGCTCCTTACCCTTGGGATGTCCAAGTGGAGGTTTCTCCCATGTTTAAAGAACAGAAAAAGAAAGTCAAGGTGCCCCATACATCATCAGTAAAGGTAATGAACAAACACATGAGGGAAATTTTTGTTTATCTGTGCAGGTGAGATAGCTTGATTTCTCTAAAAAGCAAATTGGGATTAACTTTTAGATGAGGAAGTTAGTGTCACAATAGGATCAATATCTATGTAGCTTAGAAGACTGTTTTCCCTTATCTTTCTATCTTAATATCACATACCGTATATTTATTTAGTTATAGAATCATAGAATCAAAGAGTTGGAAGAGACCTCATGGGCCATCCAGTCCAACCCCCTGCCAAGAAGCAGGAATATTGCATTCAAATCACCCCTGACAGATGGCCATCCAGCCTCTGTTTAAAAGCTTCCAAAGAAGGAGCCTCCACCACACTTATTATTTACTTCATTTCTACCCCGTCTTTCTCCCTCAAAGGTACTCAAGGTGGCCTAAAACTCCGGCAAAAATTCAATGCCGGTAAAACCCAGCAATAACAATAGAACTTAAACAGTTAAAACTTAACATTAAATAATAATACAAATAAAACAGTATACACATTTTAAAAGAATATAAAGTGCATTACTGAATTCCTCAAAAACTCTCCTCATAATCTTTAATCCAGACCATGTCAAAACTGTCGAGACTTATGCTTTGAATGCTTGTGCGCAAAGCCAAGTCTTCATCTTTTTTCTTAAACCCAGGAGGGATGGGGCCTGCCTGATGTCACTGGGGAGGGAGTATACTTGAAGATAAGCAAAGCTTTTCAGTCCTTTTTCTGAGTTGAAAAAGCCTCCCTTGGCTTATAATGGGGTCAAGGCCGCGCAGCGGAGGCTGGAGGCCATTGCTTGCAATATGTGATATATTTTTCTCTCCTCTTATCTCCCTTAACAGTGTGTCTTCTTTTCCAGTCAAAAGGAAGGGAAGGAGGGAAAGGAGATATATTTCATATTCTCCTTGTTTGTATGGCTCTTTTTCATAACCCACCCAATTTCCTGGCTTTTGTGTGTGTGTCTAAATGTATGTGTATTTTTGTTCCCTTGGAAGTGTTCACTGGCTTTGTAAGCCCTATTGATCTATAAATAGGTTTCTATATATCAGTTATTCCCAACCTTTGGGCCTCCAGGTGTTTTGGATTTCAACTCCCACAGTTCCTAACAGCTGGTAAACTGGCTGGGATTTCTGGGAGTTGATGTCCAAAACATCTGGAGGCCCAAAGGTTGGGAACCACTGCTATATGTGCATGTTTCTCCTGAAGTCTTTGCAAACCATATATATCCATTAATCTTATAAAACATTTTATAAGATTAATGGATATATATGGTTTGCAAAGACTGAAATATTTGTTAATCTCTCTTACAGATGTATAGGCATTTTCCCCTGCAAGACTTTGCAGCCCCTATGTACCTATATCTATCTATTTATCTATATACATTAATTTTATATATGAATTTCTCTCTCACATGTTTGCAAGTCTCTGCAAATTCTATAAAGATACAGATATCGATAAATATATAGAGGTACCCCTCCCTATCTATCTATCTATCTATCTATCTATCTATCTATCTATCTATCTATCTATATCTGTGTGTATTATATATGAATTTTCCCCTCACATGTTTGAAAGTCTTTGCAAATCTTATATAGATATAATAATCTATATATAGAGAGATGTCTAGATAGATATATATGAATACAGGGCTTGCAAATATTACAGGGGGAAATGCACACACACACACAGAGATGTCTAGATATAAACATAGATATATAGGGTGTGCAAATATTGCAGGAGGGAAATGCACATATATAGAGAGGATTTGCAAGCATTTCAGGGGGTAATGCATATGTGAAATTAGTGTATATAACAGATCTATATCTAGCTCTGCATTGTTTATATAGGCATTGAATGTTTGCCTGTTACTATGTTGGAAGCCGGCCTGAGTTCCCATGGGGAGAGAGGGTGGAGTACAAATACATTTATTATTATTATTATTATTATTATTATTATTATTATTATTATTATTATGTTATTGTTTATTCCATATTGCTTTTGTTGACCCTACTTTTCTACTTACAGAGCTAGTTTAATGTTTTCCTTGAAATACGGTAAATATTTAAAAAAAATTAACTTACTGATGCCCCAATTAGGTATGCATTTTGAAATTTACCCGTAGTTGCTGCATTTCCTACCCTAGGCTTATACTCGAGTCAATAAGTTTTCCCAGTTTTTATGGTAAAATTAGGTGTCTCGGCATATATTTGGGTCGGGTTATATTCCAGTATATACAGTACATAACAGTGAAAAAGATTGCAGTAGTGGCAATACATAGCTCTTGAGAATTAGAACTGGAGAAAAGGCAAAATGAATTTGAAAGACAATAACCTCTTTTTAAAAGGAGAAATCTATATTGAAATATTTGATGGACTGCATATACTCATGTTGACTTCAAGGGCAGGTTTAGAAACCAAAATTATAAGTTGAGGGTCACTCTACAGAAAGGGAAAGGGTCTGCTGCTCCTGGCTACTGCTGCTGTCATTATCCTCCCCAGGCATTCAAACATCCAGAGGAGAATCAAGAAAGACACCTTTCACCATTCTACTCAGAGATCATTCATTTTTTGGATAATAATTAAAATAAAGTACTAACATTGGCCCATGGAAAAGTCATTCCAGGTTTTGGGTCATTTTTTTCCTAATATTGTCCATGACTATATGTAATAGTTATAGGTTATTAATCTCAGCTATGGTATGCATACTAAATCAATGAACATTTGCTACATCAGCACTGACATAGTTTGTATTCAGTGGGTATAATCTATACAGAAATTAAAAAAAATAGATTCAGTCAATTCACTTTTACGTTAAATGTTGTAATTATCTAGTGTCTAAATAAACATTTTATATTTATAGGTGTAGTGGTGTTTTAAGTGTTATGGAGAGTTGTGCACCTATAATAACTTTATTTTTGTACCCCACCACCATCTCCCTGAAGGGACTCAGGGCAGCTTACATGGGGCAAAGCCCAATCAACACAGTTAAAAAGTAACACATTAAATGTAAACAACAGTATAAAACAAAATAAAACAACAGCATTATAACAATATATAAAACAGGCATCAAAACAAACAACCAATAACAAATTCAATTAATCATCACAGGTGGGCAGACTGGTGCAACAATAATTTAAAGGATAGGCTAGTAAGTAAAGTGCATAGGTTATATGGCAGCAACAAGGATAAGAGCAATAGTAAAGTGCAAGGTCATGATTTTGGGTCCTAGCTGGGGCCAACTATCTATGGAATTGTCTACTCTAAAGCACAGTGGAACATCCACGTCTTTAACTCTTTGGGAGGGTGTTAGTCTTGCAAATACATATAAAAACAGATGAATCACTTTTGATGTGCTTCTTTCTTTGATTTAAGAAGTGTCCATATTGCGGAGGTTCGGGTGAAACTTCCTGCGGTAGCTGTTCTGGATTTGGATCGGTGAGTAGTAGTGCATTAGACAGATGTAACTCTTCACTCATGTTGTTTTCCAAGGAACGGAAAAGTAATTTTAGTTATTTCCAAGCCTCTGCAAGAATGCCCTTGGCATGTTTTTAAAGAATATTCACAATATAGGATTTATTCTGCATGGCTGTTGGGTGCAGAAAGCAGCAACTTTCAAATATAAATATTTCTGTGGAAAAATTATAATTCTCCATTGTAATTAAGGCTTGAGCCTGATCAAGATACCTCTGAGCTCATGAACCTGTTCTTCTGGGTCAGAGGAGCATTATGCACAGTGTTGAGCTTTCAGCCATTAGATTTTTGAAGAAAACTTTAGCTCGGTAATAAAGTCTCTGTGCACATGAGAGAGACTCCAAGTTCAGCCTCTGCTCTTTCTAGAGAATGGATCTCAGTCCTTTATATGAAAAGCCTGACTAAGACAAATATTCTGACTGCAATACTGAGGAGTTGTTGTCAGTTGATGTCATCATCATTGGCTTAGAGGGACCAATCATCTGACTTTATATAAGAGAACTTCCAGTGCCCTTTTAATTTTTCCCAGGACAAGATGGTGTTCAGGACTGACTTCTCCTTTTGATAACTAACATCACCTCTGTTAAATAAGTTGGAAGAAGAAAAAGCTCTCATTCAAAAGAGGGGCAGGGACCTTGGTTTGATATTCAAAATGTCTTCCTTTGTTTCTTATAAGTAGGACACTTAACATCCTGAGATCAGATGGTGCATTAGAGAATGTGTGTGTCTGGAGAAACTGTGAGGCGGGTTTGCTGTTCCAGCTAGAGTGCAACTCACATGGTTGTTCCTGTAGGCATCCACACTAACATCTTAGCATGTGTAGTCTAGAATTCTTTCTTTTTTCATGATGTTGTCTCTTGCTATCTTCCCAAAGTCTGTAGACTTGGGGTGCATCTACACTATAAAATGTATGCAGTTTGACATCACTTTAAACGCCATGGCTCAATTCTGTGGAATCATGGGAGTTATGGTCTTTGACATAGCAGACTAAAGATTTATAACTCTCATGATTCTATATGGCAGTTAAAGTGATGTGAAATTATATTCATTCTTCAATGTAGATGCGCCCTTGGGCTGTGTTTCAGAATTGTTTTTGTGAAGTTTAACATGAACACTTAAACAGATACCTAATATCTAAACTCTCCCATAAGAGTGTTACATTTGACTATTTTTATTAAAGCCACTAGTAACAACAACAAAAAGCCTTTATGAGAGACAGCTTTGTTTCCATCTGTAAAGATTTTTAAACGTTTTGGGTTCAGAACTTAAATAGATTTCATTATCTGCTTTGTTTCCCATCAAACATTTTCTCAGGTAACTGAAACCTCTGGAGAAAACAATACTACATCCAGGTATGTATCCCTTTCATTACATCCCCTCCAATAAATGGTTTTGTAAGACCAGTTGTCTTTACATGTTGTATAATCTAATTGTTGTGATGTGCCTTCAAGTTGACTCCAAGTTGCGATGTTCCTGTCATAGGATTATCTTGACAAGATTTATTTGGAGGTGGCTTGCCACTTCCATCCTCTAAGACACAGGGTCACCCAGTGGGTTTCCATGACTGAATGAGGATTTGGAACCTAGTATTCAGGCATTCTACTCCAGCATTCAGACTACCACACCAGCTCTTTATGGCAGTTAGACACCACTGATGTATTTTCCCTCATAGTAACCTAGTTGAATATCAGTTCCAGCCTTCTCCACACCTCTGCTTCTCCTTCCATTTGTAAAATAATTCTTTAAATATCTTTTCTCCATACAGATCTCAGCCCTATACATGTTCAGTGTATTTGCCATGATGTGTTTTATAAATGAATGAAATCAATTTCCCTTTGAAGATGTAGTTGTACTATTTAAAATGACCTCTTCAAAGTAATCTTTTCCCTCTATAAATATACCTCAGATAATAAAGTAAATGGCCCCAGCCACACTGCCATATAATTAAGTTTCTGATCCCAGTTTCTGATCCCACACGCAAGCCCCCTTACCACAACAGGGTGACAATCGATCAAGGGAGATATAAATAAAGATGATGATGGTGATGATGATGTTGATGATTTGAATAGTACAACTATGATGCATGAAGTTTCCACAGCAATAAAGAGTTTAAAAGACAATAAAACTCCAGGACAAGATGGATACATAGCAATATTTTATAAAACATTTGAAGAATATCTCTGTAGATCTTAGGAAGCTGCTTTTTGATTTAAGGCATTGGCATTCTGACTGATATCCGAACAGAGGATGTCAATGCCTTGGTCCTTTCATTGCTGGCTGCTCCTTCCTGGCAGATGTCAGGTGGTGCGATATCAGCTAAACAGTGTAATTTCTCCAGTGGTGTTGGGCATAGACATTCTGTGATAATGTGGCATATCTCATTAAGAACCACATCCACTGTTTTAACGTGGTTGATACTATAGACATATACATTTATATAAGAAGATTTATTATGTGTAGATCCTATGTGAATGATAATTCTAATACATATTTACGTGTATATTACTGATCTACTAACAAAAGAAAATAATACACACACACACAACCCAGGAACAAAAATCATGTTATTTGCTTTGAACTGGGTTAAATGACAGTGTAGACTCATGTAATCCAGTTCTTAGCAGATAATCTGAGGTCAGATACTGGATTATATGACAGTATAGATCCAGTTGATGTCTCCTAGGCATTACTTCCTTAACAGAAAATTTGATACCTGAATCTGAAAGAACATGGAAAGAATAACACCATAATAAAGAGCAGTTTGACATGTTTCCGCAACAAGTTTGTCAAAAATTAACAATATACTCATGTGAAATGAAACAAACACATCAGTTTAACCTTAAATGTTGAACATTCTAGACACACTTGAATTTTTTTCCAAAATGCATCCAAGTTTGATTTGTTTTCTCCAGCTTTCACTTTTTTTTGGGTCTTTTTCATTTTTCCGGATAAACTATGTTTTTTTTTTATTATTTTAATGTGCCGTGAGTAGCTGGTGTGGCAGGATTATATGTTTTCCCCTTTTCTCTCTTGCATACTCAGAAGAGATTCTGGAGGCAGCTGCAGTTTACCTTGCCTGTTGTAATCAGGCACCGTCTGATAAGGAACAGTTAGTTGGAGTAAAATTCCACTCTTTCATACTCATGCTTTATTATAGCCTGACTACATACATACTGCTGCAGCCTCTCACTGAAAGTTGTATTTCTCTAGCTTCCTTCACCATATCCCAGTGATATTTTTTCTAAGAAGTTCCAGCTAGGCAGTTGGAAAGGATTAAAACAAGATCTGGATGAGCATGAAAAGACTTTGTGAAAAGGAGTTTCATTCTCTGAGACTTCATTAACTGGGGTATGCTTGTGCTTTTTATTTACCATACATAATGCACTGTGACAGAGAAAGTAGAAGAGTGCTTCCTTTTAAATTCTTGGAACGGACTAAACTCTCATCATTCACAGCAGTACTAAAAAATGATTCCCTTTTTGATAAGAATGAAGGTACAGAATTTATATTGATTTGTGGATAAATCAACCAATATTTTAGATTTTTTAAATTAGATCTCTACACTTGTAGATGAGTATATACCTAAAAGATTGCAACTTGGTGAATGAAGAATGGTCTTGAATTTGAAGGAAATGCCTTAATTTGTTGTCAAATATTCAGTTTACTTTTCAAAATGAAGATCTTAAATCTTGTTTTTCCTGCATCTTTCATGTCTTTGTATATTAATTTAATTCATATTTCATTTATATCCAATTAATTTTTTTCTAGATCATGCTCTTCTTGTGGTGGTTCAGGGAGGGAAACCTGTAGCACGTGCGCAGGAAAAGGAAAGTTGCTGACATTTCTTCAGTTAAAAATTAAATGGTAAGCCACATCAGAAAATGAACTGAATGAAAACAAAGTGTCACATTTGTAAATTTGAAAAAAAAGTGAGTTTTATTGCCAGCATGGCAGCTTAGATTTAATATTTAGCCTCATTGCAAATCTTTTTCTTTTATTGGCGTTGGGAAAGGAAACCAACCCATTCCTGGTGAGATGCAAGACATAAGATGTAAGGAAATGGGCTAAATATGCTAAGATTGCATTAGATCTTTGAAGCTAAGCCTGATCAGTCTTAGCATTTGAATAGGAAATCACCAATGAATAGTAGGTTATATTTCAGAGGAAGAATATGAAGAATCACCTCTGAGTATTACTTGCCTAAGAAAATCTTATGAAATCCAACAGGTGATTTGAAGGAACACATATGCATATATAGATATTTCATGTGTGCAGCATATTTGAGATCTTATTAGAGGCTAGAAAGAGGTTGGGGTGACTTAGGGAAATAAAATTAACATAGCAGCCTTTTTATAGGAAGGAAGAATTAGAATAAGCCTGCGTAGTTTAAGACACTTGTTGGTTTGTGGTGAAAATAAGGCAAAGAACTATTGGGCAGTATATTCTCTGTTTTTTTGCTTTTATAGGAAGAGTCACATGTTTGAATTTGTGATGGATCATGGCATTGGGTTTCCTGTAAAACTCTTCAAGAAAGTTAATGGACAACAAACATTTTTTGATGAGCAACACATGGTAATAAGAATATTCTTATAAAAGTGAAAGAAATCCCAAGGTCTGTGAATGAACCTGAGCTAACTTGAACAGTGATAAGAACAATGTTTTGCTTATATCAGCAATGTACTTTTTTATATAGCTCCAGAACAATATTGTCTTTTGCTGGTTGGTGGAGGGTAGTTGGAACAATTCACCTAGAACAATTCTTCTCCTAGAACAATTCACTCTGTGTCTTGTATGTTTTCTAAAATTGATCACATTAAAATAACTGATAGCACTGGATCTAGCTGGAATTGGGACTTTTGTACACATTTACTCAGTGCTTGAGTAAACCACAGTCCTCCAGATATAGAGTTACTATGCCAATGTAGTGGAAATAAATAGCTGATGGACTTCATCCATGATTTGTGTATATACGTACCAAGATATATGATATGCTCAGTAGTGACATAAGGGTCATGTAGTAGCTCATTGTTTTGTGAATCTCCATGTTAAAATATTGAGACATTTCTTTGTAGTGTATGTAATGATATAGTCAGCAGTCAAGAATCCCAATATCCGACCTTTGTGTGTTTCCTGATTGAAATAAAGCACACTCAGGTTTGAATTTTCCCAAATTGGCTTGAAAATGTTGGTGTTTCTACTATTATGGAGACTACTCCATGCCATTTTTTCACGTCAAATTCACAGAGCTTCCTGCAAAACTTTGTTCTGCAAGGTGCTTTAATATTCTTCCTCTTCTAAATGGCAGTTTTTCAGTTGCTACTTCTCTATTTGATGTCTGTCACCTATATTTGTGTGTTCATAATTTCTATTTGCAGAGTTGAGAAATATAATTAGAAGTGCTCTGGTCTGGGCTTTGGTTTTGTATTCAAATCTTCCAATGTTGATATTTTCATAGGTATCGCCAGTGGTGGGTTTCTTGGAAAATGCTATAAATGAAGTCTCTCTGGTTGCTGTTGAAGAACACCGAGCTCAGTTTATGACTCCAATACCAGGAGATGTGAGTTCAGCAAAGACTACATCTCTGCATTCCATTAATACTCAGTGAAATTCCTCCTGGTTTTTGGTCTGAAGTAAAAGAAGTATTTATTTATTATTTTTAAACGTATTTAAAAAATTTCTCAGCCAAAGGAGACTCAAAGCAGCTAACAATATGTAAATTAAAACATAACCCATACAAACATTAACATTAGATTAAGTATATCTGATAAGCCAGGTGTATCATGATTTTTCCCAACAAAAGCAAGAGTAGCTTCCTTTCATTTATTTTTTAAAAGAAGCCCCCAGTGGCACAATGGGTTAAACCCTTGTGCCTACAGGACTGAAGAACAACAGGTCGGAGGTTCAAATCCAGGGAGAGCATGGATGAGTTCCCTCTGTCAGCTCCAGCTTCCCATGTGGGGATCTGAGAGAAGCCTTCCACAAGGATGGTAAAACATCTGGGTATCCCCTGGGCAATGTCTTTGCAGACAGCCAATTATCTCACACCAGAAGCGACTTGCAGTTTCTCAAGTCACTCCTGACATAAAAAAAATACTTTTGAATCTAGTCTTTGCATTTTAGGGATTAGTCATGGTTTGTAAATGTATCATGTAGCCATATTTATCAGTCTGGCTTTTTTCATAAATCTCAAATTAAATTCATGTCCCTATTTTAGAAAACAAGGTGTGCAGAAATACACCCACTTTTTTTTCTTGTCCAGCCCAGTTTCTCAAGTGGATTTCTAGGAGGAAATGTTGCTTTTTGACCTTTGAGTCCACTTTTTTCCTGATCCTAGTAGAAGGATTTGGGATGCAGTAGTTTATGTAACGATTAGTGGCAGATGGAAAAGACTTTTGCTCCCACCTTTATTTGGAGGCCATTAGAGGGCAGCCCCAGGTTCCTGTGGGCTGAGATATATGGGGATGAGGGAAGTATTCTTTGCATATTCTTTTTATTTACAGATATCATTTCAATCTATAAAATTGCATTTAAGGTATAATTACACAAAACAAACTACGACCTACAGACTAAACTAATGCAACCAACATTATTAACAATATGAATAGAGGTTTTTCATGAAACAAATCAATAAAAATATTCGGAAACTTATTATTTGCCTCAGCTTCTCCAAGAAAAACTTTATTCCCATTCATCTGTCTTCCATTCCTGCATCTCCACTTGAAAACTGGTATCCTCTGAAACTCAAGCCTTTTGAATCTTTAACTCTATGGGTAGTTCCAGTACCCTGAACTCCTATTTCAAGGTCTCTCATCTACCACTTTCCAAGTCTTTAAAGTTATGGCTTATCTGATTCATATCCAGTGCCATCGGATAGATATCCATTCCAGTCATTCTTAATTCTTCGATAATTTGTTGCTGGTTGTTCGACAAGGATGTTGCCCAGGGGAAGCCTGGATGATTGATGCTTTACCATCCTGTGGAAGGCTTCTCTCATGTCCCCACATGGGAAACTAGAGCTGAGATCACAAATATACTTCCTTGTTGGCTGTTCCATATATATATATATATATATATATATATATATATATATATATATATAGATCCTTCTATAGATATTTTGACAGCTATTAAAATACTGTGAAAGAACTAGCAAGGATATTTTGTGTGTAATTTATCTTCATCACTGGATGTTGCTGGTTAACACCTTGTTGCCTTCTAAGATGGAAAGTTTTAACTAATTTGGCCATTAGTTCACTTCCTTTTCCTGTGATAGCATACCACCTTGGGCTTATCAGCTCATAAATAAACTTTCTTTCTCTATTTTCTCACAGTTAAATATAAGGAAGTAATATATCCAATGGATATATTAAGGAAATACACAGGAAATACATAGTAAAAATAAACTCATATTTTATAAATAAGGTTACATTTAGCTATGATTTCCCATTTTTCCTATACAGACAGTCCTCCAGTTATGAACAAGATAGGTAGGTTCTGTGGGTTTGTTTTTAAGCTTAATTTGTTTGTAAGTCAGAACAGGTGCATTTTTTAGTCTAGCTCAAGCCAAAATATATCTTTTAAAGCTTTGGATAACACAGGGAAGGGTTAACACCTTGGTGGTATTTGTTTTAATGTCTGTGCCCCTGTTCAGAAGACCTCATTTTCTGTCCCTGCAATAATTGAAAAATTGGCTGGTTGTGGAAACAAATGTTGGAAAGAAAGCTTCAGTGGAGACACCTTTCCCCCATGACAACTCTTTCAGGAGTTAATTTCTCTTCCGAAGGGACTGGTTTCTCTCACTTCCTGTTGCCACACACTTGTTCTTAACTGTGAGTAGTTTGTAAGTTGGATGTTTGAAACTCAGGGACTATCTGTATATGAAACCTTTTGGGACACAATATAGTTCTTTTAGTTTAATTGAGCTATGCATCATTCAGATAAATGTATTTTCCCCATTGTTGTACTCATCCTTAGATTGTAGACATGTTGGCATTGTTTACAAGTTTAAGAAAGTTGTCTGGGTGCTGCTGTGACTGTCTCTAGCAACTTGATGCAATAGAGCACGATGGTTCTTTCCCCCCTTCTCTTCATTTCTATTGAAGTCCAAACTTACATTTTCGGGATATCAGGAACACAAATTGGGCAATATGTCAGGATGGCAGAAACATAAAGCATACATCTTCTGACCCTTGCATGGCAGGGGGACATTTCTTGTCAGTTGGTGGCAAACTTACCAGCAAACATCATGAGTAGCACAGATCCCTCGTCAGAGCCGATGGGGGACTCAACTACATGGTGCCATTTCCAGCCTGTAAGTCCAAGGAGAGTGCATTTTTGTGGGAGGAAGACTTGGGTGTGAGTGTGCATTCCTAAGTTCAGCTCTGTAGCTAATATTGAATGTGAGTAAGGGCACTAAAGGTAGTGCACCCCATTCAGAATTGTATTATGTTGATAGGTGTATCCTTCGGATTCTGGAATTGCTACCTGGAATGCTATTGAAAATCCTAAAGCTCAGTTTCCCCCCACAGTGTGCATCCGGAGGCAGGTGAGTGTCCTAAAAATGGATGAGGTATGCTCTAAATTTGGGAGTTGTCTATAGTATCATGGGTGTGTGGGAACTTGTAATCTCTTTTGTGAGAAACTGTGGGCCCATCCAGACAGGACCTTTATTGCGGTATCTACCACAGTAAAGGATGGGCTGTCCAGACAATTTTCTGGACAGTCCTGACTTAATTTACTACAAACCAGGAAAACCCTGCTTTGTAGCAAATTAATTTGATAGTGGATTTATTCTGCGCCTTCTTGGTTTCATATATGAGAGCAAAGGTACAGTACTTCTAGATTTCGCTATGATTATAAAAGATGTATGCTATTCTCATTACATTATTACAAGTAGGCCAATAAAATAATTAGCACATAATGTTCTGAATGTATTTGAATATAACACTTAAACCAAACTGATTAAAGCAGATAGCATTCATGATATTTATGAAAAAAAAACCTGCCCAAGTACATCCGGAAGCAGTTGAAATCTGGTCAGAAAGCTCTGTAGAGACAGGACAGGATGTCTAAGGCTTAAGACACAGGTGAAGCTGTTCTATAAATAAGAGCAAATTTAGTCAAATGTGGACTGGAACTCCCATTATTTTTCACCTTTAGCTTTTGGCTAAGACTGCCATGGCTGCACTTCAACAATTTCTGATAGTATAAGGTAAGTATAAGTATAAGATAAGATTTAAAGCAGGATTGTTGCTGGGGAATCTGACCTGTTCAGAAGTCCCATTAATTCAGTAATACTAACTTGGAAGTATCCAGGGTGCTTTCACATATACTTAAAATCTGCACCAAAATGGGTTAAAGTAACCCACTTCAGTGCAAGTTCTAGTCCCCATCTCCTCCCACAACCCTGGCATTTCCCTCCTGGGATGGCTACATGTTATCCTGATTGAAATCAGGATAGCATGAAGCCACCCAGAAACCCCCAATTCACCCCTATAACTTACTGAAAAGATCCCTGGCTGCCATAGAGCCTCTTCTTGCATCCCCATGGTGCACAAAAATGATGCCTGAGGAGATGGGAGGGGTGAGGAGGACACACCCCCCCCCCAGTGCCCCCATCTCCTCACATGTCATTTTCTTATGCCATGAGGACGAGAAACTCAATGGTGGTCAGGGACCTTGTCTGTAGGTTTTAGGGGGTAAATTGGGGGCTGGAGGAGGGAGTGGGTGACCTCCAGGAGCCCAAAGGTATGGAATGGTTGTGGAGATTGACCTCCCAGGAAATGTGTGATGCATCCCAATAGTCCTCACAGGGCCAGCATCATATTAGACCCCAATCTTTCATAAAGATTCAGATCTAATGATGTGTTTAATTAATGCAGAATAAACCAGGGAAAACGCAGTTTACTCTGCATTAATTCATTTTACCAGAGGCATCATTTGGATGCCTCTGGTAAAACTGAGACACCTCCTGCATTTTGGGCCTTTCTGGATGGCCCCACAGTGAAACTGAATGGATAATTCTGAATGGAAAAGCATAAACAGGATTATTAATTTAGCAAACACCCTTTCAAAAATACTATTGACTCTCAAATCCAATGTGAGAAAGAATAAGAAAAAGAAGCAAAACTCTTATCTGAAACTATAGATTTCTTTCTCTTTTTGTAAGTGTTTCATACAAAGAAAGAGAATTTCTTTGCGAACCAAGCCAAAACCAACCAGGAAAAAGTGAAGAAATGTCACTTGCAAAACAGAAAAAGTGAAGAAATAACACTTTCATACATTAAGCCAAGCACACAATTACAAAAACATGCAAGAGAAACCAATGTATTTACAAAAATAAGTATGGCACAAGCAGACCCGTAGCCAGGATTTCGATTCGGGGGGGGGGGGCTGAGTTTGTTTCGGGGGGGGGGGGGGGGGGGGGTGAGTGAAAGAGGGTCTACCCTAGCAAACCTTTTGTATCGTTACCCCAATACCCCCAAACATATGGGATATATTGAGTAGGGTGATCAGATCATGATATGAATAAACGTAACAGTTTAAATAATGCACTAGTAAGGACTTTTCGCGAACTACCATGAGAAATTTTTTTTGGGGGGGGGCTGAAGCCCCTCAAGCCCCCCCCCCCCCCCCCCCCGGCTACATGCTTGGGCACAAGCATGGTACAAGTATGGCTGATGTGCCTGCACAGTTATTTCACCTTTTTACTGTAAAATAAGCAGAGAGAGGAAGCAGATGCTGTTCTCATTTCCAGCTATCAATTGATTTCCTCATATATATATATTTTAAAAAAGCTACTGCAGAGGGTTGGCACTATGGCTACTTCTCATTCAGAGCGGTAGTAGATCTGGATAGAGATCTAGATGATAGTGTTTTTATAAATCATGTTTTTTTCCACATTATTTATTTATTTATTTATTTATTTATTATTTAGAACTTTTATATCCTGTTCTTCTGTACCTCCGTGGAGGGACTCAGAATGGCTAACAACAAAAATTCAATGCTAAACAATAAATAACATTTTAAAACAACATATATAAAACAATAGGTTAAAATACATATAAGTTAAAGTAACTTAAATAACACAATGCACTTTCTCTCATTACAGAAGCAAGCCATCGAATTACTGCACCTTACCCGGGTGGAATATGAGTGGCATGGAAAACACTACTCGTACTATGTTTATGGAAATGAACAGAAGATTTATACAGAGTACTATCCTAAAAAGTGCTGCTGCACTGTCATATGATTTGTTGAACTTCCAACTAAAATCCCTTGATCAGAATTTTTGGATGCTTGTTCTTTCCCCTCACTTGCTCATAAGAACTATGGAGGATGCTGTTCCTTCTCAACAGAAATAGTAAATTATTATATTTTTCAAGAAGATGGAAACTCCAAACTTACATGTTGCAAGAGAAGATCAAGCTTTTCTTATAACACAAAGGAAAAAACAAACATTCTCCTATATAATTCCTGTGTTCATTGCCTGAATATTATAAAGTGAAAACATTACTATGGGGTGAATTGTGGCCCCAGAAGCAGCAAGTATATTATGGATTTGGTATATCTATATGTTCATATACATACAGTTGGATATGGAACCCAAGTTTAAACTCAAAATTTGTTTGTTTAATTAAAAATATTTTAATTAACCATCAGAAGCCAAAGTTGTCACTATTGCAGTCAAATGAGTCTCAGTTTTCATTTGTGAAATGTTGAAGAGCATGTTAAAGACTATAATTTTTCCTTCTTTTTCTAAAGGCTTCCAGTCACTTCTAAAAATCACCGGTTACTATTCAAAGATACTTTTCCAAAATTTCTGCAAGCAGTTTTTAAATTTGTTTTATAAACATATTCCAAGCTTGCTTTCTAGGCATGTAATTCTGTTTGGGTAATATATTGTCTTTAGATTTTAATGTCATTTATGAGTTAATACTCGTACATGCAAATCTGCATATAATTTTATACATATTGAATTTATGTTTTTATATAACTAATTTATGTATTTTTCTACTAAAAACTAGCTATTTATCTTTCACATGGAGTACTATATTTTTGTCTTATATGGTAAATTTGTAATTGGTATTTTTAGTACGTGGTCTCAATTGGTATTGTCTCAAAATGTGATTAATTCTTTTACACAAAAATCATTGTTGATATATATTTAAAAAACCCATTTTGGTGTGGGTTTGGGTATTGTCTGGAAGTGCCCTCCAAAGCAAAACAGGGCTAGCCCCAAAGAAGCTGGTGTACTCGTTGGCCCTTGAATTGCAGCAGAGTTTGGTTATGCTATTGAGAAAAATTTTCTTGTCATTATATATTTCTGTAAAAGAAAAAGTTTGGCATTTAATACAGCATCTGTCACATTAATTAAATATTAACACAGTTTAATAGATGACTTGGATTTATGTGTAATGATCATTGGAATGGCCTAACCTTGATTGTGGATAACATGATTTTATAGCTATAAATGTTATTGTTTATGTTTTAATTGCTTTTAACCTTGTTTAGATTTTTAACTAAATATTATTTAATTGTTGAATTGTTTAAGGCATTGAATTTTGCCTCTGTTATAAGTCACCTTGAGTTTCCTTTGGGGTCGAGAAGGGTGGGATATAAAAATAGTAAATAAATAAATAATACATATACACAAACGGAAACTGTAATGAAATCTATCTTATTTACCATTGCAATGTAAGTGGAAACTATTTTGTTTTACTTCAGAGAAACGCTCATTCAGTTGAACAGCTCTCTGTACAGATTGGCTGGGGATTTACTTTTGAGTGGGTATGCATAAGAATCCTTTGTAGTGGGCCCAAAAGAAAAAAAAAATTAAGAACAGCTATGCAGACATATTTCAACACTAAACAATAGTCAAAAGATGAATTGGAATTTGATCAAAGCACCAGAACATACAAAACAAGTTTGGAAAAACAGTAATGGTGCACAAAATTTGTTTCGTTATTTTCATTAAAGAGTTCTAGTTGATTAGGAGGCAAACATACACACATGACAGCAATTAGAATATACCACCTTGAGATCTATGTAAAAAAAGTCCAGAAACTATACAATAAAATTGACAGTCCTCTATGGGTTTTTTTCTTGGCAACAAAAATAAAATTATGTGTGCTTCTCACATTCAGTGCTTTTTGAAATTGCTTTGTTTAATTGAGATCTGATCATCAAATTTAATTTTAAAAATTCTAGTAATATTTTATGGTGATTTGTCATTGTGGGTTTCTTTGGTCAGTGAAGCCAAAGTGATGGGCTGTTGATGGTCCTTTAGTTGTCCGCCTAGAGCTGAATTTCCAGAAAACTAACAGTTTTAGCCAGTGAGCATAAGCACAGTCTCAGTCCATGGCTTATGGGCGTTTCCTGAGCATCAGATATACTGAGAAGTGAGAAGTACTGTCTTAGGCTGTGTATTGCCATCTTGTGGCAAAAGGTGGTATAGTATGTACTCTCCCTCCTGCTGTCAACACAGTATTTGCCAAAGTAAAAATGTGAAGCAGATGTTAGCTGAAGAATAAATATTATTGTTATGAGTTTACACTACTTTTGTGACCTTCTAGAGTGCAAGAATGTTTCCATCCTTCTCACTGAAATCCTGTAGTAAGAGGAAGATCAACCCTCCCCCAGAAAAAGTCAAAGAGAGATTGGAAAAGCAAACAAAATAAATGTAACATACCTACACATTCTAATTTATTGATAATGGGTTAAAGAGACAATGGTTTCTTGGCATGAAGCAAAATAGAAATATTCTAATTAAATGGGCAACCTGTATGGTTCCAATTATAATTTCAATATTAATCTAATTTCAGTATTAAATTATCAGTTTAATTGTTAATTAGAGAAATGGAAGACTATGCTAAAGAGGCAATAAATTTCACATTTCCTGTTGCTTATTTACTTATATCTTTGTAAATGATTTTATTTTATTGTTGTAAACCATTTTAAATTTTACTTTTGAGGAAATGGTTGATGATAATGATGATAGAGATGATAATGATAGTCATGGGCTACTCAGTAACATCTCCTGGATTGACCCCTCCTTCCCTCAAGCCCACTTTGTTGGCCAACAAGGAGGTCTTTTCAGCTGCTAACTGAGGCACAGTAGAAAATGTTTCCTATTGGAAAGCAAGGCTGAGACAAAATGTGACAGAGACCCTGCTTCTGATTGCTACAGGCTTGCTCACGGGCAGGAGGTGGACTGGAAAGATTTTTCCTCATGCCCTGATTGGCAACTGAACAGCCTTCCTTCACTTGATGCAACTGCTGGCTGCTAAAGTGGGATTAGGGCAGGCATGGGCAAACTTTTTTGCCTTGGGGCCACATTGCAGGCCAGGCTAGGAGGGGAAGGGCCTGCCAAGGCCAGGACAGGGCAGGGCCTGGGTCATCCCCAAGTTGTCCTCCTGGTATAAGGATGGGGATGCTCGCCCCATCCTTATGCTGGGACATGTGATGACTGGCCAGATCTTTATGCCGGGAGGAGGGTGAGACAGGCAGTGGCTGAGAGAGTTGTCTCTCAGCTGCAGCATACCTTCCTTGAGCCTTTTTCCTGGCACAAGGATGGGGCCACTCGCACTATCCTTATGCTGGGAGGAAGGCAAAACGTGTGGTGGCTGAGAGTGCTTGGGAGGGCTCTCAGCTGCTGCATGCCTTCCTCCCTCGTCTTTTTGGCATAAGGTTTTGGCAGGGCACTGTGCCCTTATGCCAAGAGGACAAGGAAAATTAGAAGGGCCTGACATAATTGCCCAGGAGGGCTGCTTCCGGCCTCCAGGCCTTGTTTTGCCCATGCCTGGATTAGGGGCATTTTAATAATAAATAATAAATAAACTTTATTTATACCTCGCCACCATCTCCCCAATGGGGACTCAGGGTGGCTTACATGAGGCCAAGCCCTACAACACAATACAGTAAAAGAAGTCAAAAACACAAACAATAATGTAATAAATTACATAAAACATAACAATACAGCAAACAATATAAAATTAAAATAAAATCATTCATAACACAGTAACAGTGAGTGGGCCGCATGTACAGAATAAAATACTAAAGCTAAGAGCTAAGAACAATTTTAAAGATGAATTTTAACTTGCATCTTATGTTTAATCTTTGTTTTGTGTATTTTAATATATATTTTGTGGAAATATGTTTTTATATGTATATTTTAAAGAATGTTTTTAGATGAATGTGTTTTAACAATGTTGTAATCTACCTTCAGCCGTGAGGAGAGATAGGGAACGGTTCTGGTCCAACTTACCTGTTCCAACGCATCTCCTCCTATGTACCAACAAGAACTTTAAGATCAGCTAGGGAGGTCCTGCTCTCGGTCCTACCACCTTCATAAGTGTGACAGGGTCTTCGAAGCGGTGGTCCCTTAGCCATGGAATTCCCTCCCCAGTGACATCAGGCAGACCCCATCTCTTCTGGTTCTCAGAAAAAGTTAAAGACATGGCTCTGTATCGTTTGAACAATAAGCTATTGTGGTTTCAACACAGTTGGAATAAGGATTATGAGCAAGGATTATGGATTATGGATGGATGAACACTTTATATGTTTTAATCTGTTATTGTTCTATGTTTTTTAATTGCTTGATTGTTTTAATTGTTTTAGTTGACAGGATATGTTTTATGGTTATGTTTTAAATGGCATTGAATCTTGCCGGAGTTGTAAACCACCTTGAGTCCCCCCCATGAGGATGTTGATGGCAATAGTGACAGGAACATGACTATGTAGTGAGAGCGAATATGGAACAGTTATGCATTTTCGTACCTGAGCACAGAGTTTAGTACAGGAACAGAGCTACAGAGTTTATCACAAACACCTGGATATGAGCACATGCAATGCAACAGTTGAACATCCTTTTAGTCCTTCTAACAAAACATGGAACCAATGGAAGCATTAATTTGGATCTGTGAGTTCGGCAACACAATACATGGTGCTCTAAAATGGCAGCAACATCACACTTACACAGAATGGGTCTAGCTAAAATTACTTTGCCCTGGTCAGCTAGCTGGAAGGATCTGGTAGCTGTAAGGTTTTTAAAAAAGTCACACAGAATTAAATCTGAGAATAAGTCTCAAATTGAACTCAGTGAGCCTTATTTCTGAGCCATTTTCCCCATTAGACTAATGCTTCTTTGGAGCAAGGTGATATGGGGAATCTCCCACAAGTGTTAGGCTATAATTCCTTTTCTTTCCTGGAAACTTTCTAGGAATCTTCACCCAATAGTTCATGGAGCAGCTCTGTTCCATGGCCCATCACTGAGTAGCCCTGGAGTAGAGAATACATAGGAACAGCCTGCCAGTATGCATTAAAATACAGCTATCACATCTTTTCTTTCCTGGAAACTTTCTAGGAATCTTCACCCAATAGTTCATGGAGCAGCTCTGTTCCATGGCCCATCACTGAGTAGCCCTGGAGTAGAGAATACATAGGAACAGCCTGCCAGTATGCATTAAAATACAGCTATCACATCTTTCTCCAGCAAAGGATCACCGCCTTGTCGGGGCGCTGGAGCTTGAGCACCTCAATGATGTCATGAGCGAACCCGTGAAGGGCCACCCAAGACGGGACGGTTGTGGCAGAGAGGTCAGACCAAGCGTGATCCCTGGGGAAGGCAATGGCAAACCACTCCAGTATCCTTGCCAAGAAAACTAAATGGACCAGTACAACCAGAGATATGTCGGTATGCCATTGGAAGATGGGACTCCCAGGTCGGAAGATGGCCAAAATGCAACTGGGGAGGAGCAGAGGATAAGTTCAACTAGCCCCAGATGTGATGACGCAGCTAGCTCAAAGCCGAAAGGAAGGCTAGCGGCCGACGGTACTGGAGGCGAACGACGAATCCGATGCTCTAAAGATCAACACACCATAGGAACCTGGAATGTAAGATCTATGAGCCAGGGCAAATTGGATGTTGTTATTGGCGAGATGTCAAGACTAAAGATAGACATTCTGGGGGTCAGCGAACTGAAATGGACTGGAATGGGCCACTTCACATCAGATGACCACCAGATCTACTACTGCGGACAAGAGGAACATCGAAGAAATGGAGTAGCCTTCATAATTAATAAGAAATTTGCTAAAGTAGTGCTTGGATACAACCCAAAAAATGACAGAATGATCTCAATTCGAGTGCAAGGAAAGCCTTTCAACATCACAGTGATCCAAATATACGCCCCAACCACAGCTGCTGAAGAAGCAGAAGTAGATCAGTTCTATGAGGATCTGCAGGACCTACTGGATAATACACCAAAAAGAGACATTATTTTCATTACAGGAGACTGGAATGCCAAGGTGGGAAGTCAAATGACCACAGGGATCACAGGCAAGCATGGTCTGGGAGAACAAAATGAAGCGGGACGCAGGCTGATAGAATTTTGCCAGGAAAACTCGCTGTGTATAACAAAACTCTCTTCCAACAACCTAAAAGACGGCTTTATACATGGACCTCACCAGATGGTCAACACCCAAATCAGATTGACTACATCCTTTGCAGCCAAAGGTGGCGGACATCCATCCAGTCGGTGAAAACAAGACCTGGGGCTGACTGTAGCTCAGATCACGAACTTCTTATTGCCCAATTTAGAATAAAACTAAAGAGATCAGGGAAAATACACAGACCAGTTAGATATGATCTCACTAACATTCCTAGCGAATATACAGTGGAAGTGAAGAACAGATTTGAATGGCAGGGACCTAACAGAAGCTGAAGAGATCAAGAGAAGGTGGCGAGACTATACAGAAGACCTGTATAGGAAGGATAATAATATTGAGGATAGTTTTGACGGTGTGGTGAATGAATTAGAACCAGACATCCTGAGGAGTGAGGTTGAATGGGCCTTAAGAAGCATTGCTAACAACAAGGCAGCAGGAGACGACGGGATCCCAGCGGAACTGTTTAAAATCTTAAAAGATGATGCTGTCAAGGTGATGCATGCCATATGCCAGCAAATATGGAAAACACAAGAATGGCCATCAGACTGGAAAAAATCAACTTATATCCCCATACCAAAAAAGGGAAATGCGAAAGACTGCTCCAACTTCCGTACAGTGGCCCTTATTTCTCATGCCAGTAAGGTAATGCTCAAGATCCTGCAAGGAAGACTCCAGCAATACAGGGAGCGAGAGTTGCCAGATGTTCAAGCTGGGTTTAGAAAAGGCAGAGGAACGAGAGACCAGATTGCCAATATCCGCTGGATAATGGAGAAAGGCAGGGAGTTTCAGAAAAACATCTACTTCTGCTTCATTGACTATTCTAAAGCCTTTGACTGTGTGGATCATAATAAATTGTGGCAAGTTCTTGGTGGGATGGGCATCCCAAGCCACCTTGTCTCTCTCCTGAGGAATCTGTACAAGGACCAAGTAGCAACAGTAAGAACTGACCATGGAACAACAGACTGGTTCAAGATTGGGAAAGGCGTACGGCAAGGCTGCATCCTCTCACCCAACCTTTTTAACTTGTATGCAGAACACATCATGCGATGTGCGGGGCTTGATGAATGCAAAGCTGGGGTGAAAATTGCTGGAAGAAACATTAACAACCTCAGATATGCAGATGACACCACTCTGATGGCCAAAAGCGAGGAGGAGCTGAGAAGCCTTCTAATCAAGGTGAAAGAAGAAAGCGCAAAAGCTGGGTTGCAGCTAAACATCAAAAAAACCAAGATTATGGCAACAAGAATGATTGACAACTGGAAAATAGAGGGAGAAACCGTGGAGGCCGTGACAGACTTTGTATTTCTAGGTGCAAAGATTACTGCAGATGCAGACTGTGGCCAGGAAATCAGATGACGCTTACTTCTTGGGAGGAGAGCAATGTCCAATCTCGATAAAATAGTAAAGAGTAGAGACATCAGACTGGCAACAAAGATCCGCCTAGTCAAAGCCATGGTATTCCCTGTAGTAACCTACGGATGTGAGAGCTGGACCTTAGGGAAGGCTGAGCGAAGGAAGATCGCTGCTTTTGAGCTGTGGTGTTGGAGGAAAGTTCTGAGAGTGCCTTGGACTGCGAGAAGATCCAACCAGTCCATCCTCCAGGAAATAAAGCCCGACTGCTCACTGGAGGGAAAGATACTAGAGACAAAGTTGAAGTACTTTGGCCACATCATGAGGAGACAGGAAAGCCTAGAGAAGACAATTATGTTGGGGAAAGTGGAAGGCAAAAGGAAGAGGGGCCGACCAAGGGCAAGATGGATGGATGGCATCCTTGAAGTGACTGGACTGACCTTGAGGGAGCTGGGGGTGGTAACGGCCGACAGGGAGCTCTGGCGTGGGCTGGTCCATGAGGTCACGAAGAGTCGGAGACGACTGAACGAATGAACAACAACAACATCACATCTTTGAAAGAACACAGCCATCAATGGAAATTCTCCTTGAATTCAGTGTTTAATATTTAGATAATGCAAGCTAGGAAGGTGATATGCTGCATTTTATCTTTTGTCTAATTTATAGATATTGGATAAAAGACAATGTAATAATGGGGCAAATGTGTTAGGTCTTTTCTCTGGTCAATTTAAGAGCAGACATTTGTTTAACCATTCATCAGTACTGTATTGCCATCTAGTGGCAAGAGCATAATGTTCTCCTCCATATTTTTTACAACTCTTTTTGTTGTAAAAAAGAATAAACAACAAAAAGTGAAACCCGCTGTTAATGTTTTATATATGAGTAGGGTTTTCACAGTTCTCATAGTAAACATGATTTTTATATTCTCACATGAGTCATAAAATTACTTTGTAAGTTTTTGGCAGGGCATGCTGAACTTGTTAAAGGAGGAACTGAGTCCCCCCAGGGGTGAGAAAGGCAATATATAAATACTTTAAATAAAATAAATAAATAAATAGTGTTTGTGCCAGGAAGGAGGAACCATTTTCCCTTTAGATGTTGAGGACTAGCATTCCCACATTCCTTTGTTGTTGTGTGCCATAGCCGTGGCTTCTGAAAGTTAAGAAATATCTGGAGGCCAGGAAATTTATTTATAGTAAACTATTGTTATGTTCTGTTGCATTGTGCACATCTTTACATAGAGTTGTTAAAAAACAAAAAATATTTTTATATTATTATGTGAATATTGTTGTTTAAACAATTTTACCGAAGAATACATGTTTGGAAATTTCAGAAGAAATTCCCCTATTCTCACGAGTGAAAATTATGCCATGCAATGCCCTGATTTGTCAGGGTTATTGTCCTATTTTTTCCAGCTTTTTCTAAAATTGTTCTAATTTTTCTCTCTTCTGACTTACCTACTCTGTTTATTTCAACTGCTGCAAAATTGAATTCAAAATACAAAAGTAGCTTGCCCTAAATTAACTCAGTGAGGGGGAGAGGAGTGAAGGGACTTATGCCCTTCCTAGTAGACTCAGGCAAAAACAATGTGAAATCTCCTTATTTGTCTGTTCTTCCTGATTAATAACTTTTGTTGTCTTGACCACACTCCGAAGTGGCTTGGCTACACAAGTCCCAGTTTTCATCTTTGAAACGCTGGGTGTTATTTGATATATTTTACCAGCAGTGATGCAATTGCTCTTAATGTTAGGGGGTGTATCCAAAATGTGTATTGAAAAAGGAATACTTGGAACAAATAGGAACATATGATGTACTGAAAGACCATTTAATTATATACTGATGTTCCAATACAAATGAGGAATTCTTGTTACACAATCAACATCCTGTTTGAAGAATAACAGAACTTTTTTTTTCAAAAGAGGAAAAAACTCTCCAGTGTAAAGGAAACTCACAGCATTGCAGCTCAGTCAAGTTTGTAATCGTAGAGGAATTTGGCCAGGCGTCTTTAAAACATACCCGTTTCCTTTTTTAGTGAGGCCCGCTTGGAACGTCTTAACTCGCCATCAAAGGACAACTGACAGCAATGGAAAAAGATTTACTTATTGGGTGAGTTGTGATTTGAACTGATTTTGAAAATTAGTGACTATCATTCATGCTGTGATGTCACTGGGAAAGAAAAGTGATGTGTATGAGGGGAAGGGAGGAAGGAAGGAAGGAGTTACAAAGAGAGCCATGTTGCCATGGAGACATTATAAGGCAGGCCTCATAATGGAGAATTGAGAAAGGGACGGGAAAAGAAAAGAAGAAAGAGGAAAAAGAAAGAAAGGAAAAGAAAAGTAAGGGAAAGAGGGAGGGAGGGAGGGAAGAAGAAAGAAAAAGGAGAGAAGGAAGGAGCAGAAAGGAAAAGGAAGGAGGGAAAAAGGTATGAGGGGAGGGCAATGGCTCCTCCAACAACTGGGCAACACTGCATTAAAATTAAAATCCATAGATTCACACAGGGTCCAACAGACATTTTGACTCTCATATTCAGTTTAAGAATATGCCTTCCAGTCTTTCATTTTAAAAGCAAGGGAAGGTTTGCCATCTCAAAAGATCAGTTGCAACATGTACATATATATACACACCAACAGAAGTGTTAAAGCTTGATTCTGAATTGTACCATGCTAGACAAGGCCCAACACTACTATTAGGTTTGCTGTAGGGGCCATCTCAGGAGGTAGATGTTATGAGGTATGGACTGGAGTCACTCGAGGGGTGCAGGAGGTGCAGACTGTATTGAAGAAGGAGGAGACACAAAAATGATAGTCAAAAATGTTTGTTCAACACCAATCCTAGGGACAGCACTGAGGCAAGGTATTGTGGCATAGAGCTATGTGTGCCATATCATCTGTTGTATTGTCCCTCAACCAGCTTTGGTCTCATTTGGTTTAAGGGAGGATTACAGTTTCAAAGAATTGCAAAGATACTAATTCTAAGGATGCCCCAGTGTTACTGACCAGTTGGTGTGTAGAACTGGAAACCTATTGGAGATATAGTTGAAAGGGTAACTTGTCCAAGCTTTGTGCAAAGCTAATCTATCTCTAGGGAACTCTTCACATGGGCCCAAATTCATCACCGGGGTGGGGGGGGAGGGAGGGGGTTGTTAGTTTTGCCAAAAAGCCAGATGGCTCCCATCATACCCCAGAGAAGTATTTGCGTGGTGGCTCCACAGTGAAACTGGCATAAACCCCTGCTGCTGCTCACGACGCAAGGCTCCTTGTCTTTCCATTGAGAAAGATGAGTTGAGCCAGCTTAAAGAGGCTACACCCTATGTGATGAGGTGTGATGAGGTGGGGGGAAGCTGGTACAGTGCAGGTCATGGGGTGACAGGTCCCCACACCCCCTGGGCAGGTACCGCCAGGATCACCACCATTTGCAGCAATATTCAGTAATTCTGGCAGCACGTGTGAAGAAAAAAAATCAGTATTCATCTTGTTTCCCACATGTACACCCACACACACCAACACATACACACGGGTATCCCTCAATACATATAGCAGAGATGGGGGTTATGTGGTCATTCAGATGTTACTGAACAACAATTTGTATCACTGACAGGCTAAAGTTGAAAAGAGAGGCAGTCCAAGGATAAAGGGAGGACTACTTGTTTTCAGTCTCTTTACACATTTGCTTCAAAATATTAGTTTACAGACTGGGAACCTAGAGTTTAGGGTACATGTGAACAGCCCCCTGGGCAGAGATTGCTTTTAATACTATCACAGGTATATTTTATACCTGCCCCCATTTTTTCCAGTTCTGCAGATACAGTCCTGATTAATGCTATGCCCCACTTTGTATCATGGCTTTTAAAAATGCCAATCTGCTCTTTCTCTTTCCCCGCTTTAGTCCTCAGCTTATTTCCTGCTCTTTTGTTGGCTAGCTAAGATCTTCATTTTGGACTATTATTTGCCTCTTGCACAAGGTTTTTTTTTTATTGTGGTATCTTTATTCTTCTTGTTATGTTTTAAATTCCTTTAAATTGTTCAAAATGAGTACTATTTTAATGGGATAGTTTCTCCCATGTTTTAATTTAGTATTACATTTTTAGTATTACATTTTTGTATTACATTTTTAAATCATCTAAATGGTGAGCTATCTTGAATACTATGTTGGGCAAAATGTGGGCTATTAAATAAATAAATAAATGTTGCAAATTGGATCATGGGAAATTCCAGTCTCTTCCTTCCCTTTCCCCAGTTTGTCCAGCTACATGGGTATATGTGCTCATTTTAATTGTGGAAAATCCCATCTCTTCTTATCTGTACATCTGAGACCTATAACTCTGACAGTCACAGGATAGGAATATCCCAAAGCATATTGTCTGCCTGGTCCAACCCATGCTTCAATGGCTTCACCTTTTCACCTCAGTGAGCACCAAAAGGCTGCATGGACTCATCATGGGCAGTCACACTCTCGCTCAAAGAATGTTTAATGGTGCTCTTTGTTTGTTTTTTCCCCACCAGAGATAAAAGCATTGCAAATTACGGAAGCGATGATCTCTCCCCATGGATTGCACAAGGTATGACAACAACACAGTGTTTTAGATAGCCTTAGGCTGCGATAAGATCTTGAAGTTGTTTTCAAGTACAATTAGCTAAGGGCCAGAGAATTCAGTCTGTTGGGCTGTTTGTGACAAACGAGAGAGGAAACAATAGGGGGCTCTCGTTATGTACACACTGACTTCAATAGGAACACAGCTGGACTTCATTTTATGTAGCATGTAATTGACAACTGAATAGTTCATGTTGATGTGGTTTTTCCTGGGCGAAGGAAGCAAGGGATGAAAATAGAATGTCAAATAATATTTCTATCAAACACAAGACACAATGACACATTAATTATGAAAACAGAAGAAAGGTAATTACAATATTTACAACAGGTGTTAAATTGTAGCATTCGAAGGCAGGCACAATAGCCTTGCAGGAGACCACATATACCCCCCCCCCCAAACACACGCACACCTGTTCTTGTAAAAGATATGCCTTCCAAACAAAGGGACATATGCCCTTTGAATTGTTTTTGAAAACTTTCACAAAATTTTGTTTCGACCCCCTGGGAGTCTCAAGGATGCAGGGAGACTCCAAATAGGGTGGAAATTCATTTCATGCCATTTAGAGATTCTTTTGAGATATTTCAAAAGTTTTTTAAAAAACAAAAAATACCCTTGAAGGCTTCTGAGTATAACAATAATGGCTGTGAGAGAACTTTGTCCATCCCTGTTTTAAAATAATGCTTAACCAAACTTTTATTTAACATTTCACTTAGGCAGAGACTTTATCATCTTGCATTAACAGTTGCATGACTATAAAGATTTTGACCCTTTTTTCTCCCTGAAAAATATTTTGGAGTTTTTCTAAGAAATAAGAAAAGTAGCACAATCAAATGAAATGTACTAACTGGATCTCATAGGCAATCCATATATGTTGTAGCTAATTTCTTCTATAGTGGGTACACTGATGTAATCTTCATTTGTCCAAACTAACCAAAGCTAGGCCTAATCTGGATGGAAATATTTTTTCAAGACAAAGATCATTGAAACCTTTCAAATTTGTACATTACACAAATTTGACTTTCATAGCCGTGGGACCAGTACCCATGGTTTCACTTACTCATGTCTGAAAAATCTACTCACTCTAGGCATTTTCTAGATCTTCAAGGCCAGATGTTTGCCATAGAGGTGTGCTTGAGTATTTTAGACCTGCTTCGCAAGTGCAGTTGGTGGCGACAAGAGACAGGGCCTTCTCAGTGGTGGCTCCCCAACTCTGGAACTCTCTCCCCAGTGAGAGAGAGACCTCTCTCAGCACCCTCTCTCCTGGTCTTTAGAAAGAGAACAAAGATATGATGGAACCAAACTCTTGACTAGTAAAGTAACGCAGTACAAGATGTAAATATGAAATATGTGTAATCGACATCTGGAATGGCCCAGTCTATGACTTTGGATCATGTTATTTTAATGTTTTTATTAGGTGTTTTCAAGTTTTATACTTCATGTTTAAATGTCCTATTATCTTATGGTGAATTTGTTCTATTGTATTTTATGCTTAGTCATATGCGTTTGATTTATGGTTTGGTTTATATATGTGAGGCATTTAATTTTGCCATTATTTTTTGTAAACCACTTTGAGTCCCCCCAGGGATGAGAAAAGCAGTATATAAATACTGTAAATAAATAAATATGCTAGAAAGATATTCTCTCTATGCATTTTCTAGAGAGAATATCTTTTCTCATACCACTGTGTGATTCTGTGGTATATTACTGCTAGAAGTTGTTCATTTCAATAGGGTTCATTATTATCCACAGTTTTGCATTTCCATGGTAAGTTTAGGATCCCCACACCACACCTCAGGAAACTGGTGGTTATAATATATAAAGCATTTTGGTATATGTTACAAGGTTCCTAAATACAATGTTGTTTAAAAACAAGATGGGTAGAGCAGTTTAACCATGGTTGGAAGAAAGACATTTTACAATATGAATTGCTTCTTCCTATTTAGGTCCCCAGATTTCCAGTCTTGACAGCCTGTTTCCCCAATCACAGAATTAAATGCTTTAAAAATATTCTGCATAATTTGTAAATCTGATTTTTTTTCTCCTAGCTCTTGGGCCTGTGTAATATTTTACCATGGATACATTTTTTTATTGTTCAGCAGTGCTTAGTTAATTTTCTTCTCAAAGAAAGTAATGAGTGATTTTAGAAATCTTCTTCCTGATGTAAGGAAACCTTTGAAAACTACAGTTTTGAGAGACTTTTTACAGTTTGGACTTCTTTTGGACAAAATCCATGTCAGATTCCCTCCTCCAAACAGTATTTTAAGTGTAGAATATAATATTTCTAAATTTTAAAAAATTGCTGCGAAATTTCTCCTGTAGTCAGGATTGTCCTCGTTGTATTTCCTGACCCTCAAGAAACATCATTTTCACCTATTTAAAAATATTTTTACAATATTCTTTCATTGTTGTTTTTAAGAAAGGGTCCTCTAATTGTCTTTCTGTGGAAAGTTTGGATGAGAATACAAATTGTGCTAGCAAATAACTTTTTTGCCGTTGATTGTTGTTTGAGAAAACTATTCATTAAATAAAAAATTATCTAAATGTTTGCAATTGGGGTTTTTAATTTGATTTTACTGGCAAATATTTATTTACATTACTGTGGTATGATATTTAAACTCATAACTTTATGTTAACAATGATAGCCATCAATGTGCAGTCATAAATCACTACTTTTTGCAAAAGAACTAAATCAAAGGAATATCCTCTTTTGTTTAATGGTAACTGTAAAGCAACTGTAAAGCAAAACCAATGGGGAGAGGAGAGCAGAAAAGAGAAGAGATTTATGTCACAAGGTTCTATACATTTCATAGAAATAGGACCACTCTGCAGCCCTGTTTTACCTGAATTGCTTGTCTAAAAATACCAATAGGCCTAAGCTTACCTTACCGTACTATTATGAAGCAATTTCTGTATGACTCAAAGGAACCCTTTGTCAATATAACCAGCTACCAATCTGAGGCATAACCACTTTCTGTTTACCAAACTGAAGCTGAGGCAAAATTAAAGAATGCTGAAAATTAAGTGGTTATTTGGATTCTTGGTATAAATGAAAGCCGGAGTGCTTCGTGCACCTCAATTGTACCTCAATCTTTCCTAAAATCAATGTGTTCTTTCTTATTAATTATATATTTTATAATCCTGGAAGTGCAGATCACAAAGTGCACAACTATAAGAAGCCATATCCAGAGGATTATAATTTTTAAGACTAGCACAATAATGCTGGAAGGGCCATCCTTAAAGAAAAATACTAGCTACATTTGCCTATATGAATAATTTGGCTAGAATTTATCTGGAATCCATTTGTCTAAACCTAATTTGTAACACTCAGGAATAACCATATCTTCTTCAACTGATTTTCATCAATCATATGGATAATGTCAAATCTTTAATGTCAACTTTGCAAACAGGTGGCTGCCTAAGGGAGATGAATGACACGAAGTCAATTTCTGTACTAAGGTGCCCTTGAGTCCAAAGATGTGGGGCTAAAATAGCCTCGTTCAAACCATTGTTGGGACCCCTTGAAAAATAATTGTATGATTCTTAACCTAACAAAATAGCCACCCTTGGTTTTTGCATCAGGAGAAATGCAGGATAAAAATAAATGAGAAATAAAATAGCATCCAGAATTCATGTTCATTTCCCACTCCTGACTATCTAATAACTGGATTGGATTTCATGCGTGTGTGTTGGGTCCCTTTGAGTTGTTTCCAACTTATGGGGATCTGAAGGCAAACCTATTGCAGGATTTTCTGAAACTGATATTGTGTGACATAATAATAATAATAATAATAATAATAATAATAATAATAACTTTATTCTTATATCCCACCACCATCTCCACTAAGGGACTCGGGGAGGCTTAAATGGGGACCAGCATAAACAAAGAATTAAAAGTTACATAATTAAAAATATAAAAATAAATAATATAATAAAACAATTAAATCCAGAAAAGTGAAAACACCATAAAACATATCAATCAACATCAACCACGAGTAACCAGAAAAAATGGGCATGTTCAAATTTGAGATGACAGGGCAAGGCTTGTGCAAAACACAGAACAATGTCATGGCTGGAAGTAAAGTGCTGGAAAAAAACAAAACAATAAATTAGGGCTAGGCAGATCTGATCAGGAGTTAAACCATTATTCAAAGGCATATTGGAACATCCAAGTTTTCAAGTGTTTACGGAAAGTGGACAGAATAAGGGCTAATCTAATCTCCCTGGGGAGAGAGTTCCAGAGTCGGGGGCACAAAGCAGGACCTGAACCATGAAGGGCTTTATAGGTAATAATCTGTACTTTGAATTGGGACTGGAAAATTATTGGCAGCCAGTGGAGTTGCTTCAGTAGAGGTGCTGTCTGCTCCCTGTAACTAGCCAGTTAACAACCTGGATGCTGACCTTTGCACCAGTTGCAGTTTCTGGGCCGTCTTCAAAGGCAGCCCTACATAGAGTGTGTTGCAGTAATTCAATCTAGATGTAACCAAGGTGTGGACCACTGTGGGCAAGTCAGACATGCCCAGAGTCACCCAGTAGGTTTTCATAGCCAAGAGTTTATTTGGTCTCTAGAATTGAAGTCCAGCCATACATGTATGAGAAGACAGGAAAGCTTAGAGAAGAGAATGATGCTGGGGAAAAGTAAGGTAAAAGAAAGAGGGGCCAACCAAGGGCAAAATGGATGGATGGCATCCTTGAAATGACTGGCTTGACTCTGAAGAAGCTGGGGGTGGTAACAGTCAACAGGGAGCTCTGGCGTGGGCTGGTCCATGAGGTCACATAGAGTCAGAAGCAACTGAACAAATAAACAACAACAAAACAACAAAAGATCAAGGCTACCTGACAGAGGTTTCATTTTTATTAGCAACTTATAGCTACATATTTTTATATTTGCTTCCCTAATGAAACCTATTAAAGCAGTGAGAATACTTTTCTTAACTACAGTTAAAACTAGAACAAACCACATTTTCCTGAATTCAAATGTAATAAGTTTCTGTGAAATTGAAAGTGGATGTTTTCAGTTGCTTCCTCACTCCCTCCCCAAATCATCAGGGTGCATTCAAAGGGGCATATTCTCTTAACAGAAAGCCACGATTTCCCATGATTTTTGAATATGAACAGCTTGTACTTCCCAAGCCCTGCCCACTTCTAGTAGGAGTTCAAATCAAGAGAACCCCTTCTTGCAATGGAGCAGATAATTTAAAGTATAATATCTTCAGAATGAGAAAAATTCTTGGATTCACAAATTGTTTCACCCAACCCATCTGTCATGCACAAGTAACAAAAAGTCACACAAAGAGTTGCATGTAACTTTATCTTGCTCAGCCACATCCTCCCATGCAAGAACAATGTGAGTTGTGAAACGCTGCATACTTCATTGGTTCCCCTTTCTGAATGTTCCTCTAACACATTCCTGTGAATCAGGTGGTGTACCTCACAGAGATGTTTACAGGGAGGTGGAGTTACGTTCAAATATTTACACATCCTCAAACCGGTAAAAATTACTTTGGTCATAGTAACAACAGACTGACTGATTGACTGGCACTCTCTGAGCTCATACGCTAAAGTCCTTTGCAACTGGAGTATTTCAGGAATCTTCCATACATGGAACAGAGTATTCAAGAGGCAGCTGGAACTTAACAGGCATGCGAGGTATGTGAGAAGAGAGCTTAAATTCAAACAACTTTGAATTGTATAAAGATAAATTCATCAGCTGTCTGTGACCAAGCTACATTTTACTCATTTTGGGGTGTTGTTGGCAAGTGCTCACAAATGTGAAACACTGGTCCAAGAGAACTCCAGTATTGATAATAGCACAGCATTTTTTCTAAGCACAATGGTTAGTTAAAATTCTTAAAGAAGTATCATTTTTGTGTCTGGGTAGGCTTACTTGTGTCCCCTTGCCTGTCTTCTTCTCTTTTGTACTTCTAGAACTTCACAGAAATGTGGAAATGAAGCTGCTATAGCTGTATTTCTTTAAGTAATACCGAAGATGCTGCTTATGTCTTGAATCAGTAATGAGCTAGATGAGGGCTAATAAAAGGAGGCTTAATTCTCTGCTTGGGGAAGAGACAACCTCTAGGGACTGAGCCTATTTTTCAATGCTGTAGCACTTCTGGTACCTAAATAAACTGATTTGCAATTTGGGGTTTTCGTGGGATCAGCTTGTAGCTATAATCATGGAGATTTTATCCCAGTTTAGGCTGGTACCACTGCCTGCACCAACTCTACATGGGACTACCTTTAAGGGGCCTTTCTTTGTTCCAGATTCCAGAGAATATAATTCTAATGGCCTTTTGCTATTAACTTGCTTATTTCAACATACCTTTGGTATGCCAGACCCAGGCCCGTAGCCAGGATTTTGATTCGGGAGGGGCTGAGTTTGATTCGGGGGGGGGGGGGGGGGGGGCTGAGTGAGTGAAAGAGGGTCTACCCTAGCAAACCTTTTATATTGTTACCCCAATACCCCCATGTATATGGGATATATTGAGCATAGTGATCAGATCATGATATGAATAAACATAACAGTTTAAATAATGTACCAGTAAGGCCTTCTTGCGGACCACCATGAGAATTTGGGGGGGGGGGGAGCTGAAGCCCCTCAAGCCCCCCCCCCTCTCCAGCTATATGCCTGGCCAGACCCAATTGGTTATTCCTGGAAGATTGTGAGCAGTCCTTACTAATTTTTCCTCCTTTTATATTGATATTATCACTTTAACTGTTCTTAAATTATATTATGTTAGCTAATTGTCTTAACAAAAACAACAGATCCTGTCTGGTCATGGAAACTCTGTAGAGTCTGGTTTGGATAGTACTTCTCTGGGAGGATGAAGTAGTGCTTCTTATTGAAGAAACATATCCCCAATATTTTAAGGCATCCCCACATCTCCTCCCCTATCCACTAATATGACGTGAGAGAAAACTGCAACATCAGTGAGATGTTGTGGGGGAAGATGGAACAAAGAGAAAGAAAACGGTCAGAGCATGCATAGGATCATGGTCATAAAGCCCCTTTATATACATTTGTTGGATCTACAATTGGCCAGGGCATGGGAGTTGGAGCTGGGGGTAATTTTATTGTCCCCAATCTACTAACAGTAATGACATCACCACCTGAGATCTTTTGAAGCCCTTTATGGTCAACAGGCACCAAGCTATAAGAGTTACATTGGCAGTTACCTTTCTACAAATGTTGACATCAGTATTGAAATACAATACCATTTGTATTGAATGGAGCAAAGAGTGAGGATTGTGACATTTGCAGGGATACCAAGATACTTGTTAATAAACTCTATTGTACACCTGCAAAGCATAGACCATCTACAAATGTCACTCTCAACTTCTGGAATGATTATATCAGTGTTGCCTTCCAAAAATCTTGCCAATCTTTTCAGAAGACAAGTGGACAAACATCAGCATTCTGGGAGAAACATTGAAGCCATGATTCTCCATAATAAACTTTGCTGGACTGGCCACGTTGTGCAAATGCCTGATCACTGTCTCCCAAAGCAGTTACTTTATTCTCAGCTCAAGAATAGAAAATGAAATGTTGGTGTACAACAAAAGAGATTTTAAAATGGGTGTAAAGCCAAGCTTTAAAAATGTGAGCTAAATACCAAAAACTGAGAAGTCTTGGCACTTGAGCATTCTGACTGGAAGTAAGCTGCTACCAACAGATGGGCTCAACGCCAACCTTAAAAACTCTGGCATAGACACTGAGAACTGGGAAGCCCTGGCCTGTGAGCACTCCAGCTGGAGGTCAGCTGTGACCAGCAGTGCTGCAGAATTTGAAGAGGCATGAATGGAGGGTGAAAGAGAGAAACGTGCCAAGAGGAAGGCGCATCAAGCCAACCCTGACTGAGACCGCCTTCCATCTGGAAACCAATGCCCTCACTGCGGGAGAAAATGCAGATCAAGAATAGGGCTCCACAGTCACCTATGGACCCACCAGAATACTGATCCTGGAAGACTATCCTACTCGGCCAACGAGGGATCGCTGAAGTAAATAAGCTACCAACAGTGCTGTGGATTTTGAAGAGGCCCAAATAGAGGGCAAAAAGGAGAAAAGTGCAAGAGGAAGGCACGTCAAGTAAGCCCTTCTTGTTACCACCTTCCATCTTGAAATCTGTCCTCAGTGTCACCAGAATAGGTCTTCACATTCATTTATAGATCCACCGCCAAGATTCCAGCTCTGGAAGACAATCATTCTTGGCCTTGAATGGTTGCCCATGATATATTTATTATAAGACCAACTCTGAACTGAGCGAATTATAGGAGTATAGATTTGTAAGAGACACCAAGAATCATCTAGTCCAATCATATTCTGTCATGCAGTAGAATTCTGAAAGATGACTATCCTGTTTCTATTTTAAAACTTCCAAAGAAGGAGACGCCACCATACTTTGAGGCAGTGTATTCAAATATCAAAGCATGTTCCTAATTTACCCATCATAGTGAATAGCATACACAATGCTTGAAAATGCCATTTTTTATTTTAAAAACCCTGTTTATTTAAACATCTTTTGTGTTGTAGGTACACTGGGACATTCTTCTCCCTTTGAAGAAGCCTCTGCACCCCCTTATGAGCTGATGGAAGAAACACCTGCAGACGAAAAGAAAAATTCAGAAGATTCTGGTAGGAGATTCTCTGCTTCACACACCCACACACACTACCAGACCACTACCAGACTCTGGGTGAAATGGATGAAAAGCCATGCAAACACCAGTGAATAAAATTTTCTTGTCAAAATTTGAATTAGTTCTTTGTTAAATTGAGGACTTTATTCCCTGGAGGACCCTACTACACAACATCATGCAAAACCTAATAGACAGGCAAAACTACTAGATAGCCCCAGATCATGCTATCATTTTGGGACTTACCTGACGCAATGAAGTCAGGACACTTCTGTGGTTGTCTATTTAAAACATTTTTAAGGGAGGGAACTGGCACAGTGGAAGTGTAATTCTTTCTCTTCTTCTCTTCTTCATTTGTACTTGGAACTCGGTGTGCGGCAACTGGAGTAAGCTGAGGAAAAAGGGAAGAAATGGGAGGGGCAGTGAGGAAAGCTGATGAAAAATTGGAATAAATTGGGGATTAATTGGGATGGCCTCTGCCAAACTGGGACAGTTGAAGATATAAAAGATGTGGTCAGTTTGCTTTAATAAGGTCTTCACTATTTGCCAAGTAGGCCATCAGCAGAAGTCCTCTAAGGCATTTTGTGAGAATGATCAGAACATATTCAAAAGGGGAAAAAATCAAATAGAAAATTTTCAAATGTTTGGCTATCTCCTCTTCACACAACCACTTTACCTCCCTTTGCTCCAAGGATTTGAAAGTATGATCTTTCCTTTCCTTGCCTCCTTGGTCTATTCATTGTTGTAGCCCAGCTGCCTGCTTGATCCCTTTTTCACACCACACAGATCAACATTAATAATAAGTTTATTAAGAAAAGAGTAATATAAAAACAGTTTCAAAACAGTGTTCAAAATAAGCATACTAAGCATTCACTAAAGTACCAGCAAAACCCTGTACGCAACAGCAGGTTCAAAGTTACATCCGTGAGCTAGATTTCCAGGCGCTTATCAAAAAGCAATGACTAATTTTGAATATGAATCCCAAAGATCACTGAAGGCAAAAAATGAAGCAAGAAACTGTAATCCAATGGTTCTTAAATTAGAATTATATACCAAAGCTTGAAAACATGAACATGACCATAATTCAAAGGCTTGATACTTGAACTGAACTATAACCCCAAAGGCTTGAAACTTGAAACAAACTTTATAATAGAAACAAGAGACCTGGAACTTAAACCGCTTAGAGTCGCCGTTGGCTGATATTTGCGGTATACAAAAGGAGTAAATAAATAAATAAATAAATAAACAGAAAAACAAGATAGAGACCCAAGAAGAGAACTCCTAACTCAGAGTTCCCAAGACAGGCAACTTGACACATGAAAATCCAACATTGATCTCCCCACCGAACATTGATTCCAATTTCTTAAGAATACTCTGTCTTGTCCATGATGAATTTGTCTCTGTTTTGCACTATCCCTTGTGAGCTGTAAACACTGGGCTACCTGTAACCCTCCTGTCTTCTTCACATTCCTTTCAGTGTTAATCCCTGGACAATCCTCATGAGAATCGCTGTCTGAGACATTCCCATTGTTTCGAAAAACACCTTTGCTTTCTTCCACAGAAACACCAGGCTCAAACAGAAAATCCACATCCTCATCCTCAGAGGCTTCACAGGCCTCAACACTCATCACCAATTGATTTCTATGCTGAAATATATCACAGTGTTCACTACACAGCTATTCAGTATATGAAAACATTTCATAACTGCATGATCTTGATAAAGGGTAATGATATACAAGTATCAAACATTTTGTTTTTTTCCCCTTACAATTCAGGTTCACATAGCCCACGCTCGGGTGAAGAACAGGATGAAATCCCTCCACATCTAAGAGATCTGAAGTAAGATATGTTCTTTAATTCTGTATTTTTGTTTGTTTGCCTATTTGGATAATCTTGTCATAGTTAAATATTGTATTAAACCATCAACTGATCTGACCACCATTGCCCTATCCAGGCATTCTAAGTGGAATTTAACAAAACAAGAGAGGAGAAATGCATGCTAGTCCTTCCCCTTCCATTGCCACTTGCTTACGTGTCATTGTTGTCATGTCCTTTCAAGTCAACATTGACTCATGACCACTCTGTCTTAGGACTTTCTTAGCCAGATTTTTAGAGAGGAGTTATTATTGCCTCCTTCTTAGATTGTGAAAGCATAACTTTCCCAGTAAAAACCTGTAAATTTCCATGGCTGAACAGAGATTTAAACTTTGGTTTCCTCTAAGTTCAACACTTAACTCACTACAAGGAGCTGGCTTTTTTTGCACATAGTTTAGGGTTGTGAATTACATAGCAAGTCTCCAAAGACATGATACTTTTTGCTTTAGACTATTCATTTTTTTCTGAGTGGTAAAGAGATGGGAAAGGGGTTGAATGGCTACAACACCTCCCTCTTTTCATGTTTAGTTGACTCCTACATGGAGTACCTAATATGCTTCCTCTATATCACTGAAAATATGTTCTGTAAACTGAATGCATGGAAGTCTAAATAAGACATGGGAATACGGATATATTTATTAAACACTAATGGCATTGAATATTTCCACATATGTGGCAGTGTCACAGAAAATTTTGACTTTGGTAAACCCGTTAAAGCAGTGGTTCTCAACCTGTGGGTCCCCAGGTGTTTTGGCCTTCAACTCCCAGAAATCCCAGCTAGTTTACCAGCTGTTAGGATTTCTGGGAGTTGAAGGCCAAAACATCTGGGGACCCACAGGTTGAGAACCACTGCGTTAAAGCAATTTTCTGAATTATAGGATCCCTGTGCATTCAGCTGAACTGACAGGGATTCCATAGACACGTGGCTGTCATTCTTGGTGGAACATATTTGTGGGGAAGGGTGTATGTACACCCCTATATTTCTACCACCCATTTTCATGTGTGGTTATCCTCTTTTTTTATTATCCTCTTTTTTCCTTAATAGTGGCTCTATGCCTTTAGTAATTTCATGTAACATTTGATGATTGTGTCTTTCCCTTTTGCAAGAAAACAACAAAAACCCTGGAGATAGTGCATTTCTCCAGAAAATTCACAATTGACTTATTTGTGCAATTGGCCCACTTTTCACCTTGTTTGTTGTTGGACAGCCTCTGATATTGCCATTAATGGCCAGAGTATCTTCTTGTACTAGAAATCTGTGCTCTTCTGGATGTTGCTGGACTCTACCTCTATCAAACATGACCAATTGCCTAGCATAATGGGAGATGTAGTCCAGCAACATCAAGAAAACAATAGACTTCCCACTAGTATCCTAAACATTTCTTCCTTGGAGTGTTCCATTATGAAAAACATAATATAAAATCTATGTGAAGAAGTGTACGTACATACGACACCATTTCTACCAACTGGTTTTCTACAATTTCTTGTAGAATATTGCAGTATTGTCAAGTATGGGATGACACAACGAATCACTGCATTAAATGACTCCAACTCTAGTGATGTCACTGCTGGGGTGAAAGAAGATAACTCTTCAGATATCCTTGGCCCAGCCATTTGGGCCTTTGATAGTAAAGACTGTTATAGAAAATCTCCAAAATGGCAGAGTATTTAAAAATACAAAGCAGGACACTCAACTGAGCAGTTAGCTCACAGCAAGCAGATGTAGTGTAAGGAGGCAAAGATGCAGAGTTCAATCCTTAAAGTTTCTTGATCAAAAAGATCAGGTCTAAGCTTCTCTCTGACTCAATTATTTCTAAAGTTAAAGGGGGGGGGGCACTCCAAATATTACATTTTCTCAATCACACAGAGTAGAGAGAGATGGAAAAAGAAGAAGTGTAACCATGAGGTTTTAAAATGAAAGGGAATGCATCCTAAAGAAATGCAATTCTACATCATCAATTAGTTTGGGAGGAGGGGGAGATACATCAACAGACATTCAGGAGCCAGTGGGGTAGGGATTCTCTCAGCCTACCCTAATGCTATCTGGTTGCTTCTCATTGAGGACTGCAGACTTGAGCAGTGTGTGCTTGAATACCAAAATAGATGAACACTTGGAATAGTATCCAGACACAATCTTTAACTGCTGACCTAGTTAAGAATGCTGGCTATTGGATATGTACTTTTTTTCTCCCTACAAAGGAAATGTTGTGAGAAAAAAATGTATTCCTTCATGAAATGCTCTAAATATTAGGGACATGATCTTCAATATTTACTGATGAAATATGTCTCAATTTCCTTTCCCAGTGTCCTCTCAGCTTCTGAGCAAGACATGAAAGAAGCCTTTCTGAAGTATGCAGCTCGCAAGTGTTGCTATAGGACTGCTCCTGCAAAGCATATGAAAGTCCGGAATCTCACTCCTCTCAACACGTACAGAGTATGTAGTGAAGAACCTTTAAAAAGTGACCAGATAAATTGTTAATTGGCAGACAGAGTAGACAATAGGGATCAAAATCAAGTGGCCTATGCTCTGACAATACTGATACTCAGTAGTGTTGCCAGCTTTTCAAATAGTAATAAGGAATTGTTCAAATTCATGACATGTAGGATTGCCAGTCAAGAAACAGCTATCAACAAGTTTAAATTCAGTTCATTTAACAATGTGTATCTCTGTAAATTTGAAATATTGTCCATGTGTTAAAACTACATGACACACAAATTTCTATGTTCTGTAGATTTGTTCTTAATTGGAATTTGTATGTAAGTCAGAACAAGTACATTTTTAAGTGCAACTCCACACACACACAATACATGCATGCTTTGGAGAGCATCGGAAAAGATTAACACCTCTATGCTGTTGCTTTCTGTGTCCCCTCTTCAGGAGATTTCACCTCACTTTATGTCCTTGTTATTACTGGATTTTTTTGGGGGGAAAGGCTCGTTGTGGAAACAAGAATTGCTGATAAAGCTTCAATAAAGACACCTTTTCCCCATGATAACACTTTCAGGAGTGAATTTCCCTTCCTGTTGTCTCATTCCCATCCTTAACTAGGAGTCATTTGTAACTTGGATGTTTATAACTTGAGGACTGCCTGTAATTGTAAGTTCAAGGTTAGTACTGAAAGTAAACGTACAATTGAAATCCAGCTGAGTAATATATGTAGCTGGGTTTAGGTATGATAGCTTTTCTTCGAGATAGGCACATGAAATAGATACATACATAGACAGACAGATATTGAGCTCATTGTCTAAATAATTGCTGCTGTGTTGCAATAACTAATTATTACAAAGCAAATGGCTGTCACCTTCACATTCCTGAATAATTCCATTCATGATTGGATATTATTCTTCCCTGTTTTTGGTATCTATATTTCCACTTTCAGTTAAAGGAAGCAATGCAGAAATGGGTTGTGATAACATGAGTTAAGAGATGGAAAAATGAGAAATGTTAATTTAAATGAAGTGTATTGAAACCAGCCAAGATGGTCAGGAGATTTCCACAAATACACTGATGCAAGACCTGTGACTTTTCTATTTGCTCTTATACTGTTAAATAAACAATGGCAAAAATGATATGAAATTCCAACACACTTTCTGCCTCTCATCCAAATGCAATGAAAGTAAGCATCATAATGCTGCCCTTGATCTTTGTTGTTGTTGTTGTTGCTTACAGAAGTAGAGAATGCTTAACAGCAGCAGCAACAATAGCATGTTAATATGCTGGATTTAAGTCATCTCTTTCCTTAAAGCAGTGTTATAGACAAAATGAGCTATATTAAGAAGTAGAAACTGGGTCTGCAGAGTTGGAACAATCATATTCTGTTAAATGTTCTCTTCAACTTAATGCCATTGTTATCAATTCAAGATATTTGCAGGATTATTCTTAATAATGAAGGAAACTGATACACACCAGTTCTAAAATGCTATAGCATTACTTAATTTATATGCTTTAGTGCTGATTTTTGAAAGGAGGTGAAACAATCCCATTATAAATAAAATTTAGAGCTGTATAGACTAACAAAAACCAAAGCTTTAGAGAGAAATATTGATTTGGAGGATTGGGGACATCTCTGGGAAAAGGGGTTCAATTAGAGTATGTATGTATGTACGTATGTGTGTGTGTGTGTGTGTATGTATATATATATATATATATATATATATATATATATATATATTCTTTATAGGACCTATATAACCCAGAGCTAATGGCCAAAATAGATAATAAAATGTCGAGGGGAATGCTAGAGGGGTGGGGTTCAGAAAGGCTCTTTTTTCCATGTTTGGTGGTCCTGCAATATAGTATAAAATATTTGGAAATGGGTGGTTATAGAAACAAATAATACAATCACAAAAAAGGTTAAAGAAAACCCAGAAATGTGCCTTTTAGGATTATTCAGAAAGAGTATTAGTGTAGAAGACGAAGAAATTTGCCAGTACAGCTTTGTTGCAGCAAGAGTGGAGAGAGGAAGTACCAGAGTATATTCAAGTGGCCAAGCTAACTAATGGTATTAGAGACGGAAATAATGAAGATTTTGTAAATAAATGGAGACTGGCATTTGGCAATCTGGAAAGGAAGACAAAGGTGGATTTGAAAGTAGCCACAAAGGGAATTTATTAAGGTAAACAATAAAGGTGTAGATGCTTGTTAGCTATGAGATCCACACTGAGTGGTGTTGGAAGTCTTGGGTGATGGGTTCACGGGTGTGGGGTAAGAGAGGTAGGGATTTGGTAAGTAGACTTGGGCATGTATCCGTTTAGCCATTTCATTTGGCTTCTTTGGCTTTTCTGGATGACTGTAATGGCAAGGGTTCAGCCGCCATGTTCCTTTTGCTTGAAACAGCCCCCGTGGCTGCCAGGTGCAGCTTCTTCCCTTCTATTTGGGAGCTTCCTTAACCCTGTTGCTCAAACCCAGACTCTCTTGAAAGGAATAAAGATAAGGACCCCAGGAAGGATGTTTCCTTAACCCTGTTCATCAAACCCAGGCTCCCTTGAAAGGAAGAAAGGCAAGTGTCTTAGGAAGGGTGCTTCCTTAAACCCCTTCCTCAAACCCAGGTCCTCTTGAAATGAAGAAAAGAAAGGATCCCAGGAACCATTGCCACCAATGGGTCGGATCTTCCAAGTTCTTTTGGTTTCCTAGCCGAAAACAGATTTTTCCATTAGCCAATTTTCGGGAGGCTTCCAAAAACGGATCTGATTACCCAACAAAATTTCGGTACCAAAAACAGATTGCCATCCAGCCGAATTTTACAAGCCTATTGATAAGTGATAATTGTACAGTCATTAATATTTTGTATATGATTTGCATTAGTTGGCTGATAAATTTCTTGTTAAAATTTTGTTTTATTTTCTATGTATGTTTTTTCTTTATTTTTTCTTTTTCTTCTCTTTTTCTTTAATTTACACAAAAATATAATTTATCAGTTTAAATTATTTTAAAAATTAAAGTTTTAAGCTGTATAGACTGACCAAAACTGTAAGCAAGGTACATCATTAGTGTTTAAAATCATACACGGTGTGGAGAAACATCCATTAAAGGTGAAGTATAGGAAATCCCAAACAAACAAAAGGAAGTCCTTCTTCAAACACTACACATATAAACTGTGGATTTTGTGACCTTGTCTTGTGCCAGCATCTTGGAACAGCTTGATAAGGATATTAGATAAGCACATGGAGAAAAGGGCTCCTCCTGATGGTTACTAGTCATGTACATTACATATTCATCCATTATCAGAGTCAAACTCCTGCTCTATAATAACTGTTTGGAATATAAGCAGGAAGATACTCATGTCCTAATAATAATAATAATAATAATAATAATAATAATAATAATAATACCACCACCACCACCAACAACTTTATTTTTATACCCCGCCACCATATCCTCGAAAAGACTCAGGGAGCTTTACATGGGAATCAAGCCCAACATACAGCAAAATTTACCATCTAAAACACAGTTAAAAACATAGTAACACAGTTAAAACATAATAATATATAATGTAACATTAATTAAAACAATTGAAAATGGCAAAATATAGAAACATCGTAAAAGTGTATCAAACCAACCTGAACAAACAGATTACTGGGTTCCCATTAATTTTATTTCACTGTAATTAATGTTCTTTTACATTTTTCCCCCTTTCAGTATCGTCTGGAAACTTTTACTGAAACAAGAGAGACATATGTGGCCAGTGGGTTTTATAATGGTGAGTTGTGTGTGAAAAAAATAAATCAGAATCAACTTGAAGGCACACAAAAACTTCTATATACCAAATTAAGAATGATGTAGTGATTGGAGTGTTGAAATGAAGAGGCTCAGGCACTTTCCACATTATATAGCTATAGTATCATGATTTAGCTGCCATCCTATAGCAGCCTGGAGATCTATGGCATTCTGGCTTGAAATTTTAGATGTCTATGTTCCAAATTCTAAATATGAAACCACCAATTTCTGGGTACCACAGGAAGAAACCATGACAGTAGAAGTGGAATCATAGTGATATACTGTGATCCCTGATTTTGATCAATATTATTTTATTTCTCAAATGCAACTTTTCAAAGATGTTTTCTATACACTGTCTGATGTCCTTGAAGGACTTGTAAGTTATGGCAAAATGCAATTAAGCAAGGTTAACAAATTGTTAAATGTATTCAAACTGAGAAAGGAGAATGGCTTGTTCCTAGTAGCAGCCATAGGAGCAGCTGTGAGCTTGTGAACAGCTGCCGACAGGATTCATACTTCCTCATATACAACTAGTTACAATGGAATTTGTTTCCATTCATCTCAGAGTGTAAGAGAATAGGTCATCCTTCCTCTCAGAAATGGAAAAAAATGTTTATATCCTCTATGGAAGGGAGTGAATTATTTCCTATTGCAGGTCATGCATTTGAAAAATTATTCTGTGCCACGCAATTGTAAGGAAGCTACAAACTGCAGGCTTCTTAAGGTGCCACAGGATATGTTGTTTTTCTTATTGTAAGAAAAACACATACCTTTGGAAATTAATCTCATTGTACACTTCCCATAGCATGGGAATTATATTCAGACTTTGCTCCCGCAGGAAGGGCAAAGAAGGGGGAGAAATGGTACTGAAAAACAGAATGAAACAAAACCCACTTAGACTTCTGAATAGAGCAGTTTAATTATTGTTTTAATGTATATCCTGCTTTTCTATGTACAGCTAACAGCATCAAGGTTAAACCTGCAATATAATTATTCAAAGTTTGTTAGTGTGTCCCAGCTGAGATGGACTTTGTGGGAAAGGACAGCTATGTGTATCTTCTTTTCTCTCTTCCATTGTTAGTGGTTTTGTTCCATTCTCTCTCCTCTTGTTCTAAAACAGTAGTTCTCAACCTGGCCTACAACTCCCAGGAATCCCAGCCAGCCCTGTTAGGATTTCTGGGAGTTGAAGGCCAAAACATCTGGGGACCCACAGATTGAGAACCACTGTTCTAAAAGAAATAAAGAAATAAAGACAAAACATTCTAAGGATGATGTAGGGAAATAATGATAATGAATAATAAACTTTCGTGTATGGCGCAAGACATTTTGCTGCCCAAAATGAAGGAACAAATGCTGCCTCCTGAACAATGTTGTTTAGTAGGAAAGAGACAGACAAATTGTTTACAGGTGGAAGCATGTATTGGGAGCAAAGGACTTAAGTAGGCAGTGGTGGGAGCAAAGAAGCAGATGCCAGTAGTGTGTTCTTGATCATCATTAATTCAAACAAGTATGCTGTGCACTGCTGTAGCCAATAAAAACTGGGAGGCAGAAAGTAAGTTATTCAAATCTTCCAGTCCTCCCCCATTCTTTCATTCAGCCTCATTTTGGTACCAGGTTTGATCTCATATATGTAAGAACAGGTTTGATAGTTTGCACCTAAAGTTAGTAACAGCATAGGAACTAACATAAGTTATAAAGATAATCTTATGTGTTGTAGAATTTCTCAGAGGAGACAGCAGTGATAATTTTAATTTTTATTGCTCTATGGAAAGCAATTTAACTAGAACCTATGGCTAAGATAAAACTAATACAGATTGGGTCTTTCTTATTCAGAAACCTGAAATCTAAGAGTCTCCAATATCTGAAACATTTTGCACCAGCTGACCACATCGACCTTCAAGGTGGCAGCTATGGTGCTCTTGCTCCGTCATCTCTCAAATTCTTAGTCTTTTTTCACATTTTATGCACAACACAAGATATGAGACTGGAGAGAGATTCATGCTCTATGAAACAGTAGAATCCAAGCCTGGTGTTTGGTGCATATCCACTCCTTTATACACACGAATGCAATTTGTATTCCAAAATAATAATAAAAATAAATTTCCAAAATATGAAACACTTGGGTCTCAACCATTTTGTATAAGGGATACACAACCTATATTGTGGCTGAAGAAGTTCAGAAATATCTGCCTATTTTGAAAAATAAAATAGATAATTTGAGTTACTTGTGAACATAGGTTCTCCTGCTTGATGTACACATATTTTTCTAGGTGGATTTGTTGACTCTTCAGCTGTTGCACCACCACCTGCTCCATGGGATGTTATAGTGGATCCACCTCCTCTATTTACAGACTGTGAAATGCATCTCCCAATACCACACTCTTATTCAGTAGAGGTAAAAACAAAACCAAATACAAAACAGCTCATGCTCTGCTCAGGATTTTAAAAGAGATTTGAAGACATTTGCTCTTCATCATTTCCACCATTAAAGTTCTTCAAGTCATTGGGTGAACAAAGGTCAGTTTTTAAAAAGTCTACTGATTTTCAGTTGGTGGCTTGGAACCTATTCATGGGTTACAACCTGACCCAAGTGTAGAATTATATCGCTTTGATACCACTTTAACTGCCATTGCTCCATCCTCTGGAATCATGAGATTTACCATTGCTTCATCCTTTGGAATCATGAAACATTTAGTACTCTGCCAAAGAATTCTAGCACCTCACCAAATTAAAAACCTCAGAATTCCATAGCATACAACTACAGCAGCTAAAGTGGCATTCAAATGTTATAACTGTGTAGCATGAAAGATTCCCAACACAGTACCTGCATGGAAAGAGAGTGCTAATGAAACACTTAGAAATGCAATGAAAACAGAACTGAGTTTTGTGAACCCAGATAGGAGTCTATGAAAGAGAGGCTGTTCTTAAGAGCACCGTACTGTCCAAAAGTGTAAAGATTGGTTCCTTGCTATTAGTTGTCCCTGTTATCAAAACTGAAAGTGAAGCTTCAAATATTGTGTGTTTTTGTCGCATGGCTAACAATGATGAAAATGGAATATAACTCTTAGAGAGCGTAGCCATGGTGCATCTGCACTGTTGAATTAATTATTTATTATAGTTATTTGGATCCAGGCTTAATTCTGTTTGCCTTGTCACTGATAGAGGGCCATGGGGTCCATCTCAGGGCTATCCTTGTGAACAGGGGTAGAGTGGAAGAAGGAGCTGCCATCCTGTAGACAAAAGGACAAACTACTTGTCCATTTTTGGATAGCTCTTGTTTTTCTCCTTTGTCTAGGGGGAGGAACTTCTCCCAGGAGTCTCTGAATAATCAGAGTTAAAGCATTGCACAAAGAGAGATAAGATACTTTCTTCCTTGATGTTTTTAAAGATACCTGGACTGGCATACCTGGAGATTATGCAACCATAAACCAGCTAGAAGATTCTCAAAGTTACTGTCCCTTGTTTGAAATCAGTCAGTTAAAATGTTCTGAAACAAGCAGTCTCTAGACTGATATCAACTGCTTCATCTTCATCTTCTGGTTCAGGATCTTGGCACAGAACATTGTTTTTACTCTTTGAAACTGTGAGAAAATATTTTAGTAAACATAGGTCCTTAAAATAAACAACATGGTCTTTGGACAAAGAGCTGCTTTTACCGCTTTACATAGGTTGGGTGCACTTCAAGTCAATTGGGCAACCTGCCCTGCAAAAAAAAAAAAAGATTTTGTATCCACCCAACAAAACAAAGAAAGCTACTTCTACACAGGGTGTGTCTCTTTTAAAGCAGGCAGCAATAATACTTTTAGATGGCATTGCTATATACTGCAAAACCCTAGGCTAACTTCTTAGTGCAACCTAAGTCAAACCTATTGCCGTGCGACAAAAAATAAAATTAAAATAAAATAAAAATTTTCTGTTGAAGTGCTACTCCTTTTTTATTTCAATGAGAACTAAGCACATACTACTTATTCTGAATGATGCTCCATGACTCCATTGGGTTTTTTATAGAGTGGAAATGAGCAAATGCTAAGCAATTAGTTTAGTGAGGCACTTATGCTAATATTAAGCATTAAGTATATCCATATCAAGGGCCAAAAATGTGGTGTAATGAAGATTGGAATAGTAATACAGGACCCTTCATATTGTAATGATTTACTGTTTGTATCTGAATAATTCTCACCATTTTGACTTTATGATTGACTATATGATTAATTCTCTGCCTTTCATTTCAGAACTGCCCAAACTGCAAAGGACGTGGGGCAATTAAGTGCCTATCTTGTGAAGGCACTGGCAAGGTTTGTTGAAAAATTACAGAATGATTATCCATGTTTTTGGTCTGTATTCATTGGAGTAAAAAATGGACACCAAAATTGCTCTTATGAAAAGGCCACATCCTATAGGGTGGCTTAATTCCTAGTAAATAAGAAACAAAAAAGAACAAATGCACATTTTAAAAGACAATTGGAGAAACAGAAATGGGAATTTCCACAAAACAAACAGTTCCTTTTCAGCAGCCATTTTCTCCTCTTAATGATCCTGTGAGTTCTAGAATTCAATTTTATATTTAAAATATTTGTTGTTCTTGTCATTATTATGATATATCTTCAAGATTATTCTGAGGATACCTTTGCTTTGGGAAAGTCATAGGCAACAACAAAGATGGATGGAGGACAAACAATGTCTGGCTCAAGGCGGGGCCATGAGGGGACCAGAGCACACACAAACCCTCATACACAAGGCTGTATATTATATTTTACTTTGCTGCCACCAGTTTATTATTTCATAGGCCACCTCCTTCAATAGGGTGTTTAAAAAGTCACACAAACTCTTCAGTTGAAATAAAACAGGAATATGTTGTTTATTTTGTTCTTGAACAGTAAATAAGCATAATGGTTTCAAATAAATTGTCATGCTTTACTTTTTGTCAGAGAATATTTTGAATCTTTTGAATCTTCTTTTCTCACCAGCACTCTAATCACTATAGAGGCCTAACATTTCCCAAAACTCTTCCTTCCTTCCTTCCCCTTCAAAACTCCTAACTCTTTTTCAAACACCAAACTCCCAACTGAACTAAACTATGGCTGTCTCAGCTGCTTCCCTTTCCATCGGGCTGCCCATCTCCAGTTGCTAAGAAATTCCCTCCAATTTCATCAGCCAATCAGACTGTGCTTCTGGCTAAGAGGCTGCCCTGCCTGAGCGCTCTCCCCCCTCCCCCTTCCTCTCCTTAGCTTTTGCAAGCCAGGCCTGTTTCTTTTAACATATTACATTGTGTATTTACTTTGTTTTTATTTCATCTTATTTTATTTTTGGTGTTATTATCATCATTATACTTTATTGATGTATTTTTATGTTGTGTGTATCTGTTTTGCTGTAACTGTTGGGCCTGGCCTCATGTAAGCCGCCTCAAGTCCCCTTGGGGAGATGGTGGCGGGGTATAAATAAGGTATTATTATTATTATTATTATTATTATTATTATTATTATTATGTTAAAAGAGTATGAGTTTCAACTACTGGATCAACCGCTGATGCTTTGGAGAATTAAATGGTTGAATTATGTAGATCTGTTTCTCTGCCAGGAAATCATTCAAATAGTCATAGGTTACTTGTTTATGTGCTACGGACTGGTTATCCTCTATGCAAATTGGCAAATTAGTGCAAATTAATCTTGGGTCCATTTTGGTCTCCTGTAACAATGAATCAAGAAATACCAAAGCCTTCTACTGATTTTTTGCATCCAGCTTCCATTCTTCTATCTTTCATGGCCTGCCTTGCTTGATAAATGTTTAACTAGCATAATTTACCATATTTTTCCTGATTCTCCGAATAAAAAAGCTATGGTTGTCAGCTTCAGAACAAGCTAAGTTCATAAACTATGTTATGTGGATATGTTGAAACTCAATGTATTCTGAAGCTGGTAAACATATTAATTTCCTGCTTTGGCTGAAACCATGTTTTTCATGTAAAGATGTGAAATGCCAAACCATTTGTTATTTTAATGCTAGTTGTCTCCTTGTGTGCATTTGTGTTATCTTGACGAAGAACCTCATATATAGAACATGATTTTTTTTATTTTCACTAATGCATTTTTCTAATTTTCATAACCTATAGCACATTAAAACTGTTATAGATGTTGGAGGTTGTATATAAATGTTTGCCTCTAATTTATTTAAAATGTATATTTGTAATTACGCCTTTGTTATGGCAAGATAACATTTTGATTTGTAATATTATCATATTTCTGAAACTACCCCTTTATGAATAATGGGATAGCAAATATTAATTTTGTTGCTGTGTGCCTTCAAGTTGTTTCCTACTTATGGAGATCCTAAGATAAACCTATCATGGCAAGATTTCTTCAGAGGAGTTTGTCAAGTATTTCTCTCAAGCTAAAAAGTATAAAACTTGCCTAATGTCACTTACTGGGTTGCCATGGCTAAGCAGGAATTCAAACTCAGGTTTCCAGAGCTATAATCTAACTCTTAAGTCACTACACCAAGCCAACACTATCACTATCACTATCTTTTCTGATAGTAAATCTTTACAAGTTAGAAGAGCCACTGATAAAATTCAGCTACTAGCAGATTTGTGAGATTCCTTCAAGATTTATAGATATAAAACTTGTATCCCAGAAATAACCCGATGAGGACCAATCACTTAAGTTAGCTGTGACATGCAGACAGACATCTAGAAATGAAATATGGAGCATATTTTATTATGGAGTTATTGCTAGACAGCAGAATGTCCCATTGCTTGGCTGGGACCCTTTATAATCCACTGCAGTGGTTAGTCCAAATGCTTCTTCCAGCATGTTTTGTGAGAACAAGAAATGCAAAAGCTTTGGAAGAAGTTGCTTGATGTTGTTTTGCTATTAGTAAAGAAGAAAGTGTAATAGTGGGGCACTGGGCTGTGTGATGTGGAAGTGCATCTTTGACATTTGGCAGGAAAGAAAGGTGTCCTGCTGGTGCTCCAGGAGAAGTTACAGGGCAAGTTCAGCAAGGGGATACCTTTTGGGGAATTTTTAAAGGAGATTTTATTTCTAGAAGAAAAGAAATTCCTAAAAATCAGGTGATGACCCAAACGTTATGAAATTTGGTGGGCTAACAGTGGTTGATGTGTTCTCTAAGTATGCTGATTTTAATCCCAATAGCCCTAAAAATGATGGGAAGGGGAAACCAGGAAGCCCTTCCCCATTGCCACCAAAGGGCTGGATCCAGCCACATTTTTTGGCTACCCACTCATTTTTGGGGGGCATGTGAAAATGGATCCAGGGGTCTACCGAAACTCCGCCAGCAGAAACAGATTGAGGTTCAGCTGAAACGTACAAGCCTAATATCCATGTTTGAACCTGCAGCCAAGTTTCAGTGGATATAAAGGGACTACTATAATTATCTATACAAAAATTTAGTTTGTGCCCTGTGGTGGAAATCATAATAAATAAAATGAAATAAAATGAAATAAAAACTTTTCTTTAGATAATGTTTTGTTTCTTTAAATGTAGAAAAAATGTTCGGCATGCGGTGGGAGTGGAACCAATACACTGGAAGACAACAGCATCTGCTCGTGGTGTTCAGGGACAGGAGACAATTGGTAAGTGAATAGATGGCTAGGCTTCCAACCAATATCTCATTTGTATTGTTGTAGTATGACAGAAGGCAATATTTGGCAGCTCCTGGTAATTTTTTTCAAATATAAATTGATAGATCTAGAATCTTTCAATAGAGGAAATTTATGTTTTCTTTGGGTTTGAAAAGGGATTGTTACATCTGGAGAAGTCAGGGGCTGCCAGGCAATATTGGGAGCTGTCTAGAGACCCAGGGTATGCTGTGCCCAGCCTCATGGTGACAATTTTTGCAGGTTCTACCAAAATCTCCCATATTCCTGTTTCACAGATGGTCTTTTAAAGCTATAAAACTATGGCTGAGATCCTGGATCAGGGAGATGTAGCACAAAGTTCTGCTAGGTGGAACTATGTCACGTGTTTTTCCTCAGCTCTTCAAGCCTACATTTTCTGAAGGATGGGGTTGGCACTGGACAATTATCTCCTACTCCTTTTAATCAGCCATGTTGGTGTGGGCTGCAGCTGGTAAAAGCTGGGTTTGTGAGGGTATTTTGATTTTAAAGAGGATTGGTGGATAATTCTGACCTCCTTAATGGGCAAAGAAGCAAGGATAAAGAATTACTTGCAACTTCATCACATTAGGGAAGTGTACGGCAAAAATTGTTCTGGCAAAGTAAAAACTCGGTAAGCAAAAGGTAATGCCTTCCCTAACAAGGTTACTTTTGGCTCCTCCTGCAATTTCCCCTTCCACAAATTGGGGAAACATTTCATTGTAAACCTGGGAGCAACTAATGCTATCGCATTACAGAAATGGCCAAACAACCAGATGATTAAAAAAAATATACACCTCATGACCACCTAATGAAACATTTTAAAAGAATGCTGGTCCTCACATTTAAAATATGCAAAGAATGTTATATCCTACATTTGAAGCCAAGCTAATGTGATGGCAAGAGTGGCTTCCCAGATTTTAAGTGTAGCACTCAGTGGAATTTAGTAAAGGGATGAAGTGGTTAGACACAATTAGCATGTATGCCTGCATAAAACTTTAACAGCCCAGATTAAAAAGCTTGAGTATTGGATAGGTTCCAGGACAATATTAAATATCATGGGTTAAAAAAAGAAAATCTAATTATCTGAACACTAAAGAATTATGCTGACTGTGTTTTCTAGGACTTATAAAAGGTATTATTTATTTTAATATCCCCATATATGTAGTTGCTTTAGTTGTCGTAGCAATGGATGGCTGAAGTGTTACCGTTGCAATGGGACTGGTGTCTTGCTATTTCATACGGAACTTACAATCACCTGGTAAGTTGAAAAAGTGAAGCAAGTTAATCAAAACTCTCTAGTCCAGTTACCTGAGCTGTAGCATTTAAAGGTAGAATTCAAAGACATGGGTGTAGAATCAAAAATATAGAGGTGGAAGAGACAACAAGCGCTCTCCAATCCCTCACCTTACCATGTAGGAATGCACAATTGAGGGTTTTAGTCTGGAAGATCAGTATGCAGAGCGATCTTGCCACACCTTAGAGAATAACTGAGAAAATGAAGAACTGAGAACACTTCACCACATGAGTCTGAGAAAATAGACTTGCTTTAGCAGACATTGTTTTACATGTTTTCTCACTTAGGACCTCTTCACATGGCCCTTTCAGGCAGTATAGTTGTGCTGCCAATTGCTGGTGAAAGGGAAGGTGTGTGGGATGGTGTGTGGCATCCCACACACCCTCCCTCCTTCCCCATCACATGGTGGGGACAGAACAGGGTGTGTCTGCACTCTGTCCCCATCTGATGGGAAAAATGGCAGCAGTGCACAGCAACGTGCACCAACGCACATTGCCCCACCATCTTTTCCTCCACCATACGGGGAAAAGGTGAGGAAAGTGTGGGTAGCTCTGTTAGAGCTACCCAAATAAACATTTTCCTCCTTTTAGTGGAGGAGGAAGCGTCTTTTGGCACTTCCACCCCAATTTGGGAGAAATATGGGCTGGGCTTGCCATGCGTCATGTGATGGCACATGTCAGGCTCTGTTTTTGCTGTGCAACAAAGCGGCAAAATGGGGCAAAAATACCCCGTGTGAAGAGGTGGTTAGCCTCTGCTTCGCATGTAGCATTTGAGATCTCTGGTAGTGTATGCACTGTGGATTCACAAGATGTACATAAACTTTGTGTGTGTTATTCTTATGAAGGAAAGCATTGTATTCTAAAGCACTATTGAGCACACTCTTCCTCCTGGTGACATACTCTCTTCGCAGATTTGCCAAAACATTTAAGGCAAATAGAGTATTTTTAACAGTTCTAATCATAGGTTTCCAGAACTTGAATGCATAGGTCTCAGAAATGTAAGGACTTGAGGGCACAGCTCATTGTAAGAGTAGCAATGTATCATGGGGAGGGGGGTAATAAGTTCTGCAACTGTTGATGTGCCCTGCCATACACATTTTCCCCACTTGCATGATAACAAGGATGTGCTTTCAGCTTAACTCATAATATATTTGGGCATATTATTGGCAGCAACCATTCCTGATTGCATTATAATGCTAAATATTGGCATACTGAGAATATACAATAATATAGATGGGTTCCTGAGTGAAATGTATATAACAATAATACCACTTGTATAACATAAACAATGATATAATTCAACAACAGTATATAAAATGCTGCACTGTTAACCTCACAGCGACAGCAAACAGTATGGTGCAAACTTTTAGTACAGTCGTATTTTCTTATAAGTAGCTTGAGTAACAGCCTACCACAATTCAACAACAATATATATACATGCTGCACTAGATCTAAACTTTTAAAGGACACAACCAGACCGGAAGTTGATAGATTGATATGGCCACTCACTCTTACAAACATGTCTAATCTGGCCATTAGAACAGTCAGGAAATACTGGAATCTTATTAGAGACATCCCGGGGTGCGAGAAACCCCCATTGATAGCACACAAAAGGACTCAAAATATTGGTGATATATTAGTACACTCAGATGTAACCCACAGAACCCCGTCCCCTAGGTCGGTTTTGGTCGGCAACTACCATTGTGGACACTGTTCAGTTAGTTCGCTACTGGTGGAAACTAAAATTCTCGTACATCCACATCTATCATTTGAGTTCAAATTTTCCCATTTTGTGACCTGCACCTCAAAGGGATTAGTTTATTTACTCATTTGTAGTTGCAATCTTTCCTATGTGGGTCAAACTCGCAGAGAGATAAGATCTAGGATTATTGAACATAGGAGTAAAATCAGAAACCATTCCAGGGAGTCTATACTCTACAAACACTTTGATGATTCACACCATAGCCCAGAACACTTTAAGTTCCATATCCTTGAAATGGTCACTCATTCCCAACAAATTGATTTCCACAACAAACTTCTACGGAGAGAAGCATACTGGATTTTTAGATTAAGGACAGAATACCCACATGGTTTGAATGAAACAAATTTGTACAATTGTTACACATAATTTCTGGACCTTTACTGTACTATGCATCCCTTCTTAAATACATGGAGAGCACCCACAGTGCCATCTGGTGGTTGCTGTTCACAACCCTTGCTCCTATGGCTTTAACTGAGCTTCACCTGAAGTAGTTCTTCCCCTTTAAATGGAAGAATACCAAAGACCTTTCCCATACTCGCAGCCAGAACTAAACTCAAAGCAGAGTATCTCGTGAGTACCCTCTCTTATGTGTAAATACTGGAATATTTCTACAATATAACCATTCTTAACTTAATAATTTACAAAACTTACAGCCACATTACGTTCCTTTTGTATAGATACCAACCCAAAAAGATTTGTATCTCCCGTGGAGAACATACTTTCATGTGCATAATTTTGTAAGTATTTAAATGTATTATCAAATGTATTATTGTTCAAGTGTATAACTTTTGGAAGTACTAAAGTGTATTGTAACCTATGATGTTTAATGATACAGATGTTCTATATGTATGCTACTGTAGTAAAACGTTGATTTGTACACTTACAGTCCACCAGAGGAAGGCCTGAGGTAGGCCGAAACTGGTCATGGTCGGCTGTCCCACAAGCTACTTATAAGAAGACACGACTGTACTAAAAGTTTGCACCACATTGTTTGGTGTCGCTGTGGGGTTAACAGTGCAGCATGTATATATATTGTTGTTGAATTGTGGTAGGCTGTTACTCAAGCTACTTATAAGAAAATACGACTGTACTAAAAGTTTGCACCATACTGTTTGTTGTCGCTGTGAGGTTAACAGTGCAGCATTTTATATACTGTTGTTGAATTATATCATTGTTTATGTTATACAAGTGGTATTTTTGTTATATACATACTGAGAATATGTCAGTCACTACCATCCAGTAGAGGATTTCCTCACAATTTAGTCCACAAATATAAGGGAATAAGTCTCATTGAAATCAGTGGACCCTTTTTTCAGGACATGTGTATATTTTAGTCATTTAAGTGGGCTGATATGTGTTGTGCACAAATGATATGTGAGCAAAGCTCACATATGACAGAAGTATGTTTTGCGCCACCAGGAAGAACAACATCTTAGAACACATTGCAGATAAGGAATCTGGTCTCCCAATATACCTTTTGCAAGAAGCAACAGGAGAAGAAATACTTTGTGATGAAAATTTTGCGGTAACATACTCTTAACTTAATGACTTCTGTTTTTGTTTTGTTTTGTGTGTACATCTCTCTGTGTGTTCATATACAAAGATTATGGAAGATAGCATCTATACCTTGAACACTATCATTTATACATATTCAGCTTGTAGATTGACATTGACAAAGACACATTTTCTATGCAATTGAAGGCACTCGATCCTTTCCATGACACTATGGGCAACCAACATAGAATACCTTGAGGATCTATTCTTTGGCTTTTCCATATTTTTTCACAGTCTGGAATTGGAACTTTTACCTCTAGATGAATGAAAGGTACAAAATATTTTCATTGTGATTCAAGGTATAGTTACCATATAAGGAGTGTCCCTATGGATGAAAGTCAAGAGAATAAAAGCTGTCTCTCTCATATGCCACCATTGCACACAGGAGACCAGAATTGTTGAAAGACATTCTGATGTCAGAACTATGGACATGTCTCTTGACATTTTTCAGATCACAGGGAAATTAGTGGCATTTGAGATCTGATCCACCATCCCAAATTGGTTTCTCACCACTGTTCTACTAGAGTATGAAGTAGAAAAGAAATATTCTGGACACATTGAAATGCCACACTCCTGAAGCAGGACAAGTTGCACCTACCAAAAGTTCCTCTTCAGCACATATATTTCTAGTACAGAAAGTTTGTCTCCTTTCCTGTACCGTAATTCATAAACAATAGTGCCATCACTTCTTGGTACTTCTGAAGTACTAAAATAGAGATCACAAATGAATGTGTAACAATGTTCCCATTTGTATGCCAGGTATTTCCCATTGTTGATTTCCCAGAGTTATCCATTGAAGACTACTCAAGAGCATGTATTGAACAACATCGAATGCAGTTTTCCTTAGGAGGTGTTCATCATATCCTGAAACAGGTGGGTGAAATTAAATGAATGAAATATTTAAAGGACTGTTTTTTCAAATATTATCTGTAAAACGTTTTTTGATATGTATGAGTCTGAGTATAGATTGGCATTGCTCTATATAAATTAATTTAAATACCACTCTGGTGGAAGCAGGCAATAAATAAATAAATGAAATATAATTGGGTAGTGTGAATACTCTCTCTCTCTCTCTCTCTCTCTCTCTCTCTCTCTCTCTATATATATATATATATGCCTTCAAGTCATCTGTCACAATATTATGAATTGCATAGGGTTTTCTTAGGCAAGAAACACTCAGGGATGTTAGTCTTTGCCTTCCTCTGAATATAGCCTACAGCATCTGGAGACCATTCATACTATTCAATTATATTTAATATATTTACTTTCTCCTAGAGTGGTATTCAAATTAATTTATAGTATGTTTTAATTGAAACAGAGCTGTTAAAAACCATATGAAGTTTTAAAGGTATTAAATAGTACCTTTGATTAAAACGGTATTTTAAAACACTAAGCAATTGAAACACTAATGTACACAATGCATCTAAAAACATAATGCCCAGTTAGATAGCATCTTGTCTCCCAAGGCTGAAAACCTGTTTAAACAAATAGGTCTTTGCTTGCCAGCAGAAAGATGACAAAGAGTCGGCTGTAGATGTTATAGTAATGGACAATATAAACTTTCTAGGTTTTCTATCTGACTCACATTGCAAACTCATTAAGGATTTGTTTCAGTGGGCTAGGTCCAGGTTGCACTACTGGCTATTTTGAGTAGGTCAGATGGAATTAGGTGTGTTATATCTGACCCTACCATCTCATCAGACACCGCCTCCCATCACACAACATTAATCTATTTCTGGTGGGGCTCAGTCCCTGAAGAGAGGTGCAATCATGTCAGGAGGCAGCAATGGCAACATGGGAAGCTTTCCAAGTTGCATTGAAAACAACAGGGGCAATCTGGGTGATGACGCTTCCCTCCATGGGATGGGGTGAGTGGAAAGGCAGGTAATGCTGGTTGTCAGATGATGGACTCCCCCCATCGGGCCCTGCCAGAGTCACCACCATCTTTGGCAAATCCAGGAGTAAATGTCATGAGCCCCCTAGTATGAGAGGTACAAAAGATGTTATTTCGTGTAACAAAGGGGATGGAACACTTTCTGGAGCAGTTTTTAAAGGGGTTAAAATAAGGTATCTAAAATGCCATGAACAGAAAGGGCCAAGCAAGTTTTCAAAATATATTATTATTTTGAGCAAGCAAAAGCACTTCTAATGCACAGAAAGGTTTTCGCAGCATTTCTAAACCTACATCTGAAATATTGTGATGTATTTACACCCACAGTTGTACACATTGAGAACAAGATTGAACTTTAGAGTTTAGCATGTTCCTCTATGTGACTTTTCTATTGCTTTACACTGCTCCAGAATTGCCACAGGACTACTCTCATTGCCTCATCCCTACTGCATCTTAAGATATCTGCAACCTGAACAGCAAATATTGAAAAACCTTTGAACCTTGCCCAGTAGCAAGAAAACTTATAATATTTTTCATTCCTGTGTGCAAAAATGAATATGATGATGATGATTATTATTATTGATGTATTTATTTATACCCACCTTTTTATCTCCACAAGGAGACTCAAAGTGGTTTAGACAAATGAAGAGACAAATATCCTTGCCTTTCTGTGACATAGGACAAAAGCATGAGTCCTCTTTGTGCCTTCCTGGGTCATTCAGAGATGCAGAAGTGTGTATCCTGACCCCAAACCAGTGCCTTTCATCAGTAATGGACTGGATGGGGGCAAACAAATTGAAACTTAATCCAGACAAGACAGAGGTAGTCCTGATCAGTTGGAAGGCAGATCATGAAATAGGGGAATAGGGGTCCAGCCTGTGTTGGATAGCATCACCCCCCGCCCCATGAAGACAGAGGTCCACAGTTTGAGGGTTGTCCTGGACTCGGCACTGAACCTGGAGGCCCAGATATCTGAGGTGGCCAGGAAAGCCTTTGCATAATTAAAGCTTTTGCACCAACTGTACCCATTCCTTGAGAAGCCAGATCTGGCCACAGTGGTACATGCCTCAGTTACATCCCCTCTGGATTACTGGAACGTGCTCCACATGGGATTGTCTTTGAAGAGTGCTTGGAAAATTCAGCCGGTCTAAAGGGGTTGCTAACTGGGACTGGCTACAGAGAGTGGGCAACCTCCTCAGTGCAGTAATGCCTCTGGCTGCTGGTCTATAGCTGGGCACAATTTGAAGTGCTGGTTATGACTTTTAAGGCTCTAGATGTTTCAGATCCAGGCTATTGGGCTGGCCACATCCCCTTGTACAAACCTGCCTGGACCTTGAGATCTTCAGAAGAGGCCTTTCTCTTGGTCCCACCTTCATTGCTGGGAATGAGAGAGCAGGTCTTTTCAGTGGTTGCCCCTCGACTCTGGAACTCCCTACCCAAGGAAGCCAGGATGGGCCACTCACAGCTGTCCTTCCAGCAGCAGGCTAAAACCTTTTTATTTAGGAAGGCTTTTAAAGATGAAAGTGTCTAAGATCTAGTCAGGTGGTGATGTGGTTTTATATGTTTTTATGGATTAAATCTGAATTTGTATTGTCGAAGGCTTTCATGGCTGGAATCACTCAGTTCTTGTGGGTTTTTTCGGGCTATATGGCCATGTTCTAGAGGCATTTCTCCTGACGTTTTGCCTGCATCTATGACAGGCATCCTCAGAGGTGAGGTCTGCTGGAGCTGGGAAAAAAGGGGTTTATATATCTGTGGAATGACCAGGGTGAGACAAAGGGCTTTTGTAAGTTGGGCTAGGTGTGGATCTTTCAACTGCCCACCTTGATTAGCATACAATGGGCTGACTGTGCCTGGGGCAAACTCTTCTTGAAGGGTGATTAGATGTCCCTGCCTGTTTTTCTCTCTGCTGTTTTTGCTGTTGCAATTTTAGAATTTTTTAATATTGGTAGCCAGATTTTGTTCATTTTCATGTTTTCTTCCTTTCTGTTGAAATTGTCCATGCTGGAGCTGGGAAAAAAGGGGTTTATAAATCTGAATTGTTTTAATACTATTGAAGTTTAATGCTGTTTAATATTTGTATATTTCTATATTTTAAATTGTATGCTGATGTTTTTATGTTAAGCCACTTTGAGTCTCCTGCAGGAAAGATAGAGGAATAATAATAATATCCTATCAATGCCTGGGCATGCTCTGGTTAAATCAGACTGCATAGGAAATGGAGAAGAAGCTTCCATTTGGTCTTGAATTTTTTGGTCTTGAATCCTTTATAACTAGCATAATAGCTTTCTGCAACTTGGACCCCTAAAACCTCATTGGACTGCAACTCCCATTGCCTGGCCAAATGAGATTTATAGTGATTGTACTCTGGTACTTCTGAAGGGTGCTGGATTGAGAAGATTTGCATTTGGATGTAGGTGATTCCCTAAATGTAATTTAGACTAATTACAAATCTAATTATATTGTTATGTTATTTTTTTCTTTTTGCAGAAACAAACCATTGAATTTGTGCCAATTACAAAGGCTGAATATGAATGGAAAGGAAAACTCTATTCCTTCTATGTTTTTGGCAAAGAGAAGAAAGTCTATACCAAAGACTATCCAGCAAAATGCTGCTGTTCAGTCATGTGACACAGATCAACAAATGTGGCATTTCCCTACCAAGTGATGCATCCAATTTCCATTATTTGTCCTTTACAACATCTTACAGGATTTCAATGTGTTCAGAGATTTTGTTCTCAGGATGATATATTATTGAGAGATCCTTCCACGGAAGTATATGGCTGGAACTGCTTTGTGATAGTCTTCCAACAACTGTTTTTGGATGCAAATGGAGACATTATTAGTTACACTATACCACAAACCACCCAAGTCAACTATTTTGTTTTCTCTGTGCTGTACATTAGAATACACGATTATAACAATTCCATAAACATCTTGTTGAAGGACATGATGTTGCACAAACCTCTGTATTGATTTATTCCCCTCTTGGTTGAAGGTTGAAATGGTTAAAATACCATTTCTTTTTGTGGAGAAAATATTTTCAAATAACCTTGCAAAACAATAAAGTATTGAAAGATGGATTGAGACATATCAAGACACCCTTTGTTGATGAACATGATTTTTTAAAAATATTCTTTAAATTTGAGGTTGAGGTTTCAGCTGCCAAGTTGCTTAGTGTAATGCTACATAATTGAAGCCTTCAAGGTGTGGCTGTGTTGAAAATTGAATCTTTTAGTGCAACTGAACATGGAGTTCATTGGGTCGAAAATTAACCAGTTTAGAACTTTGCTCCAGTCTCTGCTGATTTGTAAAAGCCAGAGTAGAAATTAGTTTCCCCTCATTTCCCTGAATAGACCAGGCTACACACTTCTTTTGGTTATAGAAAGAAGTTTGCTATGGCCCCTAGGAAACAAAGAACTTGTTGAGCTGATGGATCCTAGAATATTTATGTCTTCTTCACTGAGGTCCATACATCAGCGACTTAAGGATCACTGTTAGTTAGCCCCAATTTGAGCAAATACAATGTCCCAGTTATTTAATTGAATCAAGACTTCAGTCAGGTCTATCCAGATTATATTTAAATTAGTTTTAAAAAAATATTGACGGATGTGAATATGTATTGGTTTTAAAAGCTTTTTAAACTGACTATGTATTGTTTTATTTATTGCTCCTCCTAGTATCAAGGCTGTGTTGGATAACAAATAACTATTATAACAATTACAATTATTATTATTAGTATTGGTATTATTACCAAATCCTGTTGATTCAGTGAATCTACTAGAGTAATGACATAGGATTTATACGAATATCTTTTTGTGCATAATCATATAAACTAATAATAATAATAATAATAATAATAATAATAATAACTATATGCATACTAATATTCACATGACAACAATGCTTGTTCCCAACCACCTCCAGTAAAGTTGATCTAGAATTAGGATTATTCTTCCTGCAAGCTAGTTTTGTAATAGGCACTCAAACATAGAAGTCTCTATGTATGATTTATGTATCTGAATAATTGAGGTCATTCCATAGTTTATTTTCATGTAGTAATTCTCTCTATGTAACCAGGGGTCCCTCTGAGCAGAAATGGTAACCTCTGAAGTTCTTGCTCCTCTTATGTTGGAGTTCCAATATTACTAGACTCAAGGTGAGGGTGTGGGAGGAGAGATTGAGAAGCATGCTGTTGGATTTAAAGTGGAGGGCAATCATAGAAGCTTTGTAGTAGACCACACAGGAAATAACCAAGATATGGACTACCGTGGCCAGATCTGGCGTCTCGAGGTATGGGTGCAGCTGGTGCACAAGTTTTAATTGTGCAAAGGCACTCCTGGCCACTGCCGACACCTGAGGTTCCAGGGTTGGTGATGAGTCTAGGAGCACTCCCAGACTGCGAACCTGTGTCTTCAGAGGAAGTGTGACCCCGTCCAACACAGGTTGTAATCCCATACTCTGATCTGTCTTCCAACTGACCAGGAGTACCTCTGTTTTGTCTGGATTCACTTTCTACTTGTTAGTCTTCATCCAGTCCATCACTGATGACAGGCATTGGTTTAGGCGCAGGGCAGCATACTTGGCTTTTGGTGAAAAGGACTAATATGTCATTTCCCTTGAAATGTACTGTGATTGCTCTACATCACCTTATTTTAGGTTATATAGAGCAATCACGATACATTTCAAGGGAACAAAAAAAAAGCGGGGAATACAACTCATAGAATAATAGAATAATTTACTTATAAACTAATTTATGAAAGTCATATATACTGTCCCAACAACATGTCTGAGATGGCAGAATTCTCAGCCCGTGGACAAAATTATACAGCCTAGCTGGCAGTGCAGGTCTAATAACTGGTTGTATGTATGTTTTGTATGACAAAATTAGAATACTGTGTGTGTGGGGGGGGGGGGTGCATGTAAACTTGTAGATAGAGACATATGCCATGAGGTTGACCATGCTGAACTTGAAATTATGAAGTCTATGCTATACCAAATTTTGGAAGAAATTTTCCAGAGTCAAAATGACGGAAAATGAGCACCTCCTAATACATTTTACTCACACCACTAAATAATATAAGTGTAATCTTATATATTATGTTTTGGAAGTCAACCCCACTGAATTTAGAGGATATGGGACTGTGAGAAATCTTTCAACACATGGCTTTCTGTTCTACTTCTTGGACAGGCAATAAACCAAGAGGTGTGATGGACAGATGCCAGCAGTAAAGGTCAGTAGATCTGTAACAATGATAATTCTACTAAAACATTGTAGTCTGGAGGATTGCCTTATGTAACTGGCACAATACAGTTATAAATGCAAGAAGTAGACATAAACAACTCTGTCCACTATGAGAACTAAAAATAATACTATCTGATGGTAATTCTGAAGACAAACTAGGAGTTTTTCTATTCTTTCTCCAATGGATCTTATTTTGTAGTTTGCATTCAGATTTCACATGCATCCAAACTTATCAAAGTGGAGTGCTCCCCTTTCAAGTCATGACACATTTATAACACTTTGAGGTGAACTTATCACATGGGTTTATTGGTAGATGTTCTTTAGGTATGGTTTGCTTTTGGCTTCATGTCTGATTCTGAGAGAGTGTTAACTTGCCCAAGATGAAGCAGTGAGCTTCCATGACTGAGTAGGAATTTGACCCCTGGGCTCTGAAGTTATACGACCTCTTCAAACATGCCGATGGAATTGCCATGGATCATGGTGATTTTGTTGTATTTGTCCAGGGATGTGGAGAACTTGTCAGCAACACGGAAAGCTTCCTGTGTTGCTATGGTAGCAGCATCATCTTCCCTTTTACGATGGAGTCCCACCAGAAGTTGCTGTGCATCATGGAATGGGAGTTGGTAGGCTCTGTAGTAAAAGGATAGGTGAACTGGCACAAAGCACTAAATTCCCTCTATCTGATGAGGCCAATAGTAATACCTGAAACCACTAAATTCAAGTTCTCAGGTTCCTAACTACTGAAAATGCAATATGGGAGGCATGGGAAACTTCTAGAAACCAGCTGTCAAAGAGGCCCTCCTCTCGGTCCAATCTCTATCTCAAGCCCAGTTGATAGGGAAGAGGGAGAGGGCCTTCTCAGTGGTGGTGCCCTGGCTCTGGGATGCCCTTCCTAGAGAGATTAGACTAGCCCCCACTCCACAAGTTTTCAGAACAAATCTGAAAACATGGCTATTCAAACAGGCCTTCAACCATGTTTAAAACCCAGTTTGTTATATTCAAAGACTTAGGTTCATCCTAGCACTTTACAAGACAGATGTTAACTATAGTTTTTATATCTACAGCCACTGTTGCATTTTATTTAATCTTTTAAGTCGGTGGGGTTTTATATGACATTTTATATAGTTTGTACCTTGTTGTATTATGTGTTTGCTCTATTGAGTGCCTTTGTGAGCTGCCCCAAGTCCTTTCGGGGAGATGGTGGCAGAATATAAATAAAGTATTATTATTATTATTATTATTATTATTATTATTATTATTATTATTGCAAAACAGGCTGTATGTATGAGGATTGGGGGATGGGGGGGGGGGGKTCCAGAGAACATTATTTGAGTGGGCAGAAGGCAGATCTCATTATGTATGCTTCTTATCATAAATTGATGTAAATTAATTTTCAGCCCAAGAAAGTCAAATTTTTTTGCAGGGATAATTTTCCATGTTGACTGTCTATGACAGGAATCTTGTGCTTTTCCAAGAATGGTGTGACGTATTTCTTTCAGGAGTCACACTCAGCTCACCTTGACTAGTATCTAAGCTTGAGAATTGCCATTGCGAATCAAGATTGCAAGAAAACATTGGGCCCCCATTGTTGTGGGCTATAATCCCCAATGATTGGTTGTGCTACCTGAGGTTGGCTGAACTGCAGTCTGACAGAATCCGAGCATGTAAGGATATGGGATGATGAGACAAAGGCATCCAGTTGGTCTCCTTCATAGATTCCCCCCCCCCCCCCTCGGGCCAATGTTGCTATAAAGACCTTCAACAAAATCACCAATTAGCTAGCATTCTGTTGGTTACATGACCTGAGTGATGCCTGAGTATTTTTGGAATTCTCTCATTTACATGTTCACCACAAGTCCTCTGCCCAGCCCACCCTTCCTGATGTGAGCCACTCTGAAGGATCCACTGAAAATTTTTCTGCAGTGGTGGAAAAGGAAAAAAAAATAGTAATCACTTTCTCAGAGTTGCCCTCTTTCTATGATCCTCCTGCAACAGTGGGTGGTGTGTTGGATACAGAATATGACATGCCTCTAAGGTGTAATCCTGGAACCCATAGGATTTCAGCCTTACATTTACAATCTCTTCACGTATTGGGTTTCATTAATGTCTATGGCCTTCTTATTACTAGCACTTTTTAAATAGCAGGTCATATATCATAGTAAGCCTGGCATTTGTCCCAGTTTATTTTTTTAATCTCCATTGCAATACTGTTTTGATAAAAATCAGAATCCAGTGTTTCCAAGAAATGTCATTATGTTGGATACTTATATTTATACCTTATTATCTTATTGTCTCACTGTAGTGGTTCCCTTTGCAAGAATGAAACATTGCAGAATGTTATTCCCTCCTAGGAATCAATAACAATGTTATCAGAATGTAACAGCCGATTTTGTTTTGTTCTCTTTATATGGAACTGTTAGTACACTTTTTAAGGGTGTGAACTGAACTGGCTGATCAGGCTTTTAAAAGAGAACAAAATTAAGAGAACAGGTACAGGTTGCTTATCCAACTGGCTTGGGATCAGAAGTGCTTTGAATTTCAGATATTTATTTTTTATCAACATATTTCATTTTTACACTTCCATATATATTTATCAGTACTAGAGAGTATCAAACAGCTCCTATGTGATATACGGCAACATATAACCATGAAACTAAATATGGTATGATAAAAACCTGTGAATCTCATCTTTTTTGACAAAAGATCAACATGCAGTAATCCATATTCTATACTGTTTGGTGACTTGGCCCGATACAATGTACAGTAGAAATTAGCATGTTTGCTACTGAGATTATTCACTTATTGGAGAGATCAGGGAATATCCTGCCATATGTCTGGGAACAAAAAGATTCATAT